TCTGTTTTGCGCCTAAAAACACTTAAACGCGCTGTTGCACGGAGGGCAAGATTATCAAATAGTAACATGAGCGCTGCGGTTCACATACTGTATTGACGGAACATTTAATCCGGCTGTTCTAGTCCAGGTCGACCCTTCGTGTGCCCTACAGCTAGACGAATTAAAGAGCTAATAACCATGTGGCAAAGGTTGCCGCAACATTGTGGCACTAATGTTAGTTGCTTGAGTATCCCAGAATAGGAATTATCGAAAGTTGGTCTAAAAGCGAAAAAACGGGCCTTTATTCATGGAATAACATCTAACTTTCTCCAGACTAGCCTGGTATCGCGAATGAATTTTCCGTTGATTTGTGATGCGCTGCGCTCCGCAGTTTTTGTATCTTCACCGCCGTTCTAAAAGTTAATGTAGCCTTTTAGCACACTGCAATAACTTTAGATTGAAAACATGTTAAGTCAGAGTTAGGTTGGCGTTAAAATATCCCACTTTTAGCAAATTCTATTCGATAGCTATGTTAGATTTGCAACGTAGGTCTCGTCTCGACGATGTTTTATTTCTTTGTCGGGCAAATTGCTATAATGATAGGTAGTGTAACAAGTCACTGTCCATTGATACTGCATCAGCACTTGTGCACATACACTGACAACATTATAGGTAGTGCCACGCGTCACGTCACGTACACCGTACAACGCACGGGCAGAAGAAGTCTAGTTTGTATACGACACGTTCAATAGGAGTTGAAAGTAAAACTGTTTGATATAATCAAGTCATGATCATTAACCTATGGTTTAGTCCCAACTTGATGATATTTATCTACAAAAAAGTGAATACTAAAGTCTTGATCACCACTCATTGCGCACGTCCATCATTATTTGGAAAGCTAAAGCTGGTAGATACGATGGCCCATATCAGCCAATCGGTGAGTGTTTCTGAACATGACCCTGTTTTGTAATTTTTACGAACATTATCATCATTTTTGTTATAATCTATTAAACATGTATCAAAGTTAATTGCATGTAACAGGCTCACCTCGTTACAGTAGCCTACTAGTGTAACGGATGCAACTAACCAGAGTAGTCGTACTTGCCGCAGACAATCAAAGTCTGCAGGAATCATAAAAGAAGCGTGTTTTTTTTGAGTCGTGAGTTGCATGTAAGCGCAGGTTACGGAATCTTCTATCACACAAACTCGTAAGATTATGACTTCTTGGTCCGTGTTGTGGCTTAGGCTAAATTCTTGATGAAAGTGTAGCTTTGAATGTCGATGAGAAGCACAGCCATGATCGAAACTAGGATATGCATACACCACACTACGGTAAAGCTTTGAATGGATGGAGATCTGAAGTCGCAACTCGACACATCAACATAAGAAGACTGCTTCCTTTGGTCGCGACTTTTGTATTAATGTAGTTTAATTTAAAAGTACCAGCTAGATACACAGCCCGTTTGTCTTTCTTTACATGCTTATGAGCTTTGTAATGCCAAAATTTGTTACGAAAAATAGAGAGGTTCGCTCCATTTAACGAAATTTCACCGGCGAAATGTTACAACATTTTAGGAATGACTACTTTTCCTAAACTAAGTCATTAGCTTATAGTTGTGCCAATATTTTCATACTCCCTTTCGATGCTGCATAGTCAAATCCGCATCCGCTTTTACGTATGCGCGATACTGTGATTGCATCTACGCTTTCACATGTTTCGCTACCCTGGACAAGATGAAGATCTGCTTAAAAACACATTTGCAGTATCAGCTACGTGTGCCTATAACCTTCTTTAACAAAATTCTTGAGAAGAAATTCGTTTTTTGTAATTAGCTCCGTATCGAAAAAATCAAATATATATTTAAGTTTGTTTTTTATTTGAAGCATAATTAAAAAAATGGGTGATAAGATGAAATTTACAATTAAAACTATTAAAATAAACTACGTTTATTGCAAATATGCAAATGCTGATCTGATCTCTGCGTCTATCAGATGTGAGGTCAAATGCAATATTGCTAAAGGCAAATATAATGTATGACAAGATTCGGCCCTTGGCGCTCTCTCATTATGTTTTTCATTGCACAATATGTCGCCCACTAATTCTTGTCATTCGTTTTAGTTTTAAAGAGATGATTATGTACTAGAAATGCATTTTGACCAAGTCTGCTTACATTCAAGCTTCTACGTCGTGACTGGCCTACGGCAATAAATCCGTTTTGTACAATACTATCAAGAATAGACGAAAGTTTTCGGGATGCTCTGTAGAATAATGTGGAAAGAGGGAATCTTGGCCGCTGACAATTTCCAGGTGAGACTAGGGGACAAATTAGGGCGGTTATCACCATCCGTTTGCTCAAGGATAGGTGCAGAACGTGTACAAAACAGTAGACGTGAGGAGAATTATAGCTAGCATATCAGGATGAGAGCGAGCAACAAGTGACAAGCAATAGGCAGAATCGAATCAGCCTCTTTAATCATCAACGCACGTTTGCTCATCGATAAGATGTACGGGATAACATGAAACGATACGGAGCATGTCGAAGTCGCGCGTGTACACCCCCATTATAGTCTGCTGTTGTTGATCAATAAATTCTTTTTCATTAATTAATCTTCTATTATATTGTGGTATGCTTTTGCAAAAGCTGAAAGAATTTGGTAAATCCGTTTCTTCTTATTCAGAATTTATAATTATAATAGAGCAATTGCATTAAAACCGACGTCTTCGAGTTTCGTCAGTTTTTCTATAATGCAATTTCTTCGAATTTTAATATCTCTGATGTGTATCCTGTAAAAACATAAAGTTTTTGCCTCGACGAGCGCTCGTCGATGAGATTACGCGTGCTGCGACAACACCGTGTACTGTCATGTGGCATTCAATCGTTAAACACGATATTTAACGTGAGTCAGTTTGATTGAAAAAATAGCCCACCGGAATTTTTTTTGATGCTCACATATTCCAACTTCACTTGCGCTTCTTGCCTTGCAGGAAAGTTTTACCAGTATGCTCTCCATACTGCTTTATTTTCCTCATCAACCGATACCCTTGATGTATTATGCAAGAAAGGATAGACGTGAGATGTAATAGGTGATTAGATTCTGTGTTCATCTCTCGCTTCTGTCGCTCGTGCTGTCCTAGCTAGCTGCAATATCTCTGCATTAACCACTCTCTAGCTTTGCCCTCAAATCTTCAAAATTATGTTCTCTTCCTTCTATGCTTCGCCTAGCGCTTCCGAAAAGACGCGTTCTTGAGCGTCGCCGGAAACTGCTATACAATTTAACGTGCAATTTATAAAACTCCTTTTCGTGAGTAATTGGCTACGCAACTGGCTCATACGCAGCAACATACTACTTTGTCGCCCACGTGTGTCACTTCACGCTTCGCTACTAGTGTTACCAGCACATATTTTTTGAGCAGCGTCATGGTTGTCGCTCGTACCCTGTCGACTCTCCGCGCCCATTTAGCTGTTCGTGCATCGCGCTTCTCCAGCTGCAAAGTCGCTTACGCCATGCTCATTAAGCCGCGTAGTGTCGCGAGCTTGACAGCGTCCATCGATTTCGTCGTCAGGTCTGCGAGCATTTGCTCGGAGCGGACGTGCTGCACCCAAATGATTCAGCGTTGCGCGTAGACTTTTACAAGCTAGTGCCGTACGTCGATGCTCTTCGCCTTGCTCATCGATGCTCATTCCCTATCTGGCTAACATTAGCCTAATTGTCACATGCAGGATCATGAGTAGTACCAGCACCATGCTGAAATTTATCAGAAGCTGACGCAGGACCATGCTATCGCGCGCGGTCTCGCTCGCAGGCACGGTCTTCGCCTCCATATTAGATAGGGACACGCCGCATTGCTTTTTGACGTACCACGACACTGCCATGCTGTTAAAAAGGATCATTTCTCCGGTGAGAGACTTGCATTTGGCTTTGTCGGCCGTGAGGTCTGCGTTTCTGTTTGCCTCCATCAGCGGGGCGTCACGGCTCGCTTGCGATACCGCAATCGTGAGATTGAGCGTCGCAATTCCTTTAAATTACCTGGCAATTTGCTTCGTAAGCTCCCAGTCGTGGATGCGCGGTGTGTAACGGGGCACCCTCAAGCTTGTTCTTATGACAGTACAAGCTACTTATTCTGATGACAGAATAAGGCGGTGCCTCGGAACTTCACGTACACTCGTACGTGCAGAGGAAGACGGTAAGAAGAAGCGAGTACTTGGCTTAAGTAAAAAGTAGAAGTGCATTTATAATAGTTAATGTCTGTTAATAAACCACTGTTTATCCTCATCTAGCTATGTCTAAATACAAATGTGTATATCAACTATCTGCTCACCACTCATTGCGTGCGTCTGTCGTGGCGCGTCTTCGTTGGCTGATATAATGGCCTATATCAACCAATTAGGAACTAGTCGTAAGTGCTACAGAATATTTGTCCTTATGACAACATTCGGAGAATACAACTCTTATAGTTATATTCTATTAACAATTTCTTATAAATTGTTATGTAACGATTCACCCCGTTACATCACCCCCCCCCAACCATCAGTCACTTTAGTGACTGATTGACTAAATGGATACTCGTCCCAAATCATTTGGGACAGGGTTTGCACTTGTTGGTCCGAGTCCACTTTCCAACATCTCATCGCATGGTAAACAAGCCCATGCGGTGCGCGAACAAGGCAGCTGAGAGCGCGTCTACACGTCTCTGTGCAGGCACGGAAGCAGAAACCGCTGCAACCGATGTGCCATCGGTTGCTGAAGCGACTCAGCCTGTGTCACTTGGTGACGCAGGCGCTGGTCATGAAGACACTCATGTCTTCACAGAGTATGAGCTCGGTGTCTCATACTCTCCTGATACGGAAGACAGATCCGTATCGACGGCGATCGAATCCAAGCCGCCCGAATAGCGTGGCATGGACGATGCTTTGCGTCGTAGCATCTTTGGTTCATCTGATTCATCAGATGAACCATCGCCGAAGCAAAGGCGCTCGAGGTCGCGAGACTCGGGCGCTAACAGTGGTGTCGGTTCTCCTATGGACACCACTTCGCAACGAGGTGCCAGTACTTCTGTCGGCACGACGCAGGAAGAGCGGGGCCGCAATGTGTTGCGTCTCGCTCCCGAGAAGAAAGCATGGCTGCCACCAAAATCCGTCATGGATCACTTGTCGGCGACGACGAGTGATCGTTATTGAACACGGTCGTTCGATTCGTCAAGGATCCATCACCTTGATCCCAGTGCAAAAAACTATCGCGCTGAACATGAGTTCTTCATCGATGCTTTCCTTAGACATCGATGGTACAGTGGGAATCACAAACGTGATGGTCCCTCACTACTTCAGGCGTGGAACGCCTACATCCATAACCTTGAGGATGTAGGTCGTGACGCTTGGAACGACAAACTTATCAAAGCTCGTAATAAGTTTTAAAAGAGAACCCCGACAGGTGCACGCTACAAGCTGCATCGTCTGTCAAGGGAGAAAGGATTACCCTGCCTCTCTTGGGGAGACTCGTGCCCATGTTGTGTGAACAACTCTGCACGAGCACCTAAGGAGGCTTACCTCCTTACCAGCCCGTGGTGGCGCGTGCGTATCTCTACTGAGATGTACGAAGGGATTGACAACCTGAAATCCCTTTACGACCGTGACGGGAAGACTTTCTCCGGCGGTCCTTCTGCAGCACAGGATGTTCCGCGTTGTACTGCTCAACCAGACCCAGTACGTCAATCATCAGTTGGGAGCGGGGCTCCCAAGCATCCCAGGACGGGGGATAGCCGCGCCACCGAACGAGATAACTCGTCCGACGTCCGTTCACGTCGCGGTGGTTCAGCAGCTGCTCAACTAGATAGCGCTGGCCACCGCGAGAGTCCTCTAATGGAGGTGGAGGAGGAGGAAAGACGCTCTCCACACGATCATGTGGATCGGTGTGTTCCCGAGAGCTTCTTTGATCGCGTAACGCAAGGGTTACGCGACGATCTCGAGCATGAGCGGAATAGGCGTCTCCAAATGGCGGACACTGCCTTGAAGCATCGAGCTGAGTTTGCCTTTGCTCAGCTTGAGAACGAGAGATCTCTAACATCTCTTCGTGACGAGCTAAGGGTAGCTCGTGGGATTGCTGATCGGTCTCGGGCTGAGATAACTGCTCTTCAGACCCTTGTTGATGCCCACCATCGGGAGCACAAGGCTCTCTGCGAGATGCTTGAGCGCAAGGGCGTTCTTCATCGGAAGAAGCAGCGTACTGATGGTACGGCTTAAGCCGACCAACGTAAAACGTGGGATGCGTTCGCATCTTACGTGGTAACTCGATCGTGTATGCATTGCCTAGGCGGTGCAATACACGAAATGGGCCAATGTACTTGGGTAGTAGTTTACTGCTACCCAAGTTAGACACTACATGCTTTGGTAGATTAACCGTAGACAGTAGGACTAAGTCACCTTTATTAAATAAAAGAGTGTTTGCCCTTCCATTCTTGTCAGCGTTTTGCTTTTGCTTATCCACCGCTTCGGCGATGGAGTCTTCCACAAAACGGACTACCGTTTCACGAGCCAGTATGAACTCATCTGATGACTCGTTAGCTTCAGTGCGCTGTGAGCGCACTGCATCAACATCAACATTTTCGTCAGTAAGGGCTTCCGCACTCTCACTGGCATCATCTTCTTTGATATCGATGTTATCGATATCGGCATCAAACGCAATGACTTCTTCGTCAGAGCGTGATGAGCGTGAACCAATTCGGTTTTTGCTCGCGCGAGTCCCTCCCCCCTTAAACCAGAGTTACACTCTAGTAAGGTGGGTACACGCGGATGGCGCAAGCCATTTACGTAAAACGGTGTATGTGTCGTGGACGCATGCACCGGCTTGTTAATGGCAAACTCTACCATTGGCTAGAACTCACTCCAACTCTTAAAGGAGTGTACGTATCCTCGAAGTATCTCTTCAAGGACATGATTGGCACGTTCCGTCTGACCATCTGACTCTGGATGATCAGATGTAGACATCTTCAAGCGCGTTCCGAGTGATTTGAACACGGAACGCCAGAAATCAGCAGTGAAGCGTGGATCTCTGTCTGATAAGAGTTCACGGGGCAACCCATGAAGTCGGAAGATGGTGTCAATAAAGACATAAGCACAGCCACTTGCCGTGATTGTCTCTGGTACAGCCACAAGGTGTACCATTTTGCTGAATCTGTCAACAAATACGAGAATACCCGTATTCCCGCGTGCGTCTTTGGGTAACCCGAAGACGAAATCCATTGAGATCGATTCCCAGCACTCAGCCGGAACCGGTAGAGGCTGTAAAGGTGCACGCAGTGAAGGACTTGACTTCACTCGTTGACAGACTTCGCATGCGCGAACATAATTTCGCACAAACTGATACTGGCGGGGCCAGTAAAAGTCTCGACTTACCGTGAGATATGTTTTCTCTCGGCCACGATGTCCTCCTATAGGAGCATCGTGATACTCGAACATGATCCGCAAACGCAGATCAGTATCATCTGGAATGACAACACGTGGTGTGTCACCAGAAACGGCTGTATAATACAGTAAACCGTTACGAGCAGTGTATCGATCTGCATCAGATCGATACGCAGACGACAATCGTTTCAACGATTCTCAAGATGGTTGGGAGAGATGTGTCAACAACTTCACTATCTCACCATCTTGGGCGTATGCCCGCCTCACATCATCATACAACGTTGTAGATGGGACTGAGGACGTCATAACCGCAACAGTGACTGTCTCACTGTTGGGTTTCGCGACTGTTTCAAAGTCGGGACGACGTGAGAGTGCATCAGCGACGACATTAAGTCGTCCTGGTTTGTACTCGACCGTAAAGTTGTATTCTGCAAAGAATGACAGCCACCGCGCCATTCGTTGTGAAAGGTGCGGGCTGTTCACTGCCGTGCGTAATGACGCATGGTCGATGTAAACAACGAAGGTTCTATCTCCTAATAGATAGACTCTGAACTTCGCGAGTGCATACTTCATGGCAAGGAGTTCCTTGTCGTGCACTGGATAGTTCCGCTCAGCTGGTTGCAGCTGACGCGACTGATAGCAGACGACGCGTTCAACGCCTTCAAGATCATGCTGCATTAATGCACAGCCGATTGCGAAATCGCTGGCATCACAGACCACATGAAATGGCCAGTCCTGATCGGCAATTGCTAGGACTGGGGATTGTATCAATCTCTGCTTGATACCATCAAAGGAGCGATGACATTCAGCGTTCCATAACCACCTCTCGTTCATTTTCAACAAACGAGAGAGGTGCACAGTCATCTCGGCGTAATTTCGTGAATACTTATGCAAATACGCCGCTAGCCCAAGGAATTTGCGAAGACCTTTGACATCAACTGGCACAGGCCAGTCGGTGATCGCCTTGATCTTTTCGGGATCCGGACGTACACCGTTCTTACCAAAGATACACCCAAGAAGTGGTATTTTGCTTGCTGCAAATATACACTTCTTGAGGTTTGCATGCAATTGGTGCTTTCGCATGATTGTAAGAACCCGTCGGACGTGGTACCTGTGAACCTCAACGTCCGACTTTCCATCCATAGCTCGACTATGGATGAATACGTCATCGAAATAACTCGGTGCGAATTCTCGCACTGGTCTCAACAGATGTGATACACATCTGTTGAACGTGGCAGGGGCATTACTAAGCCCTTGTGGCATTACTAGCCATTCTTAGAGCATGCCGCTAGGCGTGCTCACTGCGGTATAGGGTATATCCCGTTCTCGCATAAGGATTTGATAGAAGCCATCCATCAAATCCATGGACGAAAAGATGGTACTCTTTGACATACCATCAATGATTACGTCCTTCCTCGGTATCGGCGTCTGAGCCGGTATCGTTGCAGCGTTCAATTTGTTGAACGCATGCACTATCCGCCACCCTCCTGTTGCTTTTCGCACACAGAAGGTCGGAGAGCTATGTGGGGAAGTTGATTCCCTCACATGGCCCGCAGCTAAACGATCGGCAAAGAACTTGTCGATCGCTGTGACCTGTTCACGAGGCAGTGGCCACTGCTTCATGACACAGTACTTCGAGCTTGGTTTAAGCTCGACCTCGTGTCGAATACCTTTATCCTTCGGTAATTCGCACGGAACAGTTTCAGGGAATACATCCTTGAATTCAACCAAATATCTTCGTAGAGAGGATTTGTCTTGAGCGATTCCCATGATTGGGAGTCATATCGCTCAATTCGTGTCTTTTCATCTAGGACACTCTCGTCCATAGATGAACTACTGAGAACTCTCTCGTTCTCAGTAAACAATATTGCTGACCTTATGTCGGTTACACACTCGTCGTCAGCGACGAGTACGCATATCTGCTTGACTTTGCCACTACGCAGATCACGCAAGAACCTTTTATGTTCGAGCGTTGGCAACTGAGTGATCTCCGAAGTTAACTTCGGAGGCGCAATCAGATCAAGTGTATAAGCGCCTACACTTGATCCGTTATTGACTATGACATTCAATGTCTCTGTCATTTCCTGGGGACTTCTTCCCTCAGGCCTCGAAGGACTTATTCCTTCGTCTTCCCGGGGACTTATTCCCGCGGGTTTCAAGGAGCTCATTTCCGCCGTATTTGTAATATCGGGACTTATTCCCTTTACATCCTCTAGCTGTGGTTGCGCAACCACAGCAAGATCCTCTACGAAAGACTCTCCAGTCGATCTAGGATTATCGTTTCGCTTAACCTGAGCGATCGATTGTTTCTCTTCTAGATGTTCCCCGCTAGGGATACATCTTTGTCCCGGTCCACCCGACTTATTCGAGTGGTGGACCTTCGGCGCAGCCTGTGTTTCCTCACAGCCGCCGGAACTTTGCTCCGAAGTGTAACCGTTTGGTACACTAAGGTTTTGTGCAGTCGTACTAACGACCGTACCACAAGTGAGGCCATCGCACTCACTCGTAGTACATCCACACGCTTGTGGACGCTCCAAAACGTTCACTAGATGGCCATCTGATGAACAAGCGGCAGGCATTGTTACTGTTCGATGTTGCCAGTTTACTTGTGGTTCGTATCTTCTGAGCCACGGTATTCCAAGGATGACATCAAATTTGTCATCCAAATCCAATACGATAAAGTCATCATCATATCGGGTATCTTCAAGCGTATAGTGGATCTTCACTATACGCTTCATGACGGTTACGGATGCGCCTGTCGCAAGACGTACCGTCATCCTCGTAGGAGGTGTGTCACATTCACTGAACTTAAATTGACCATCTTCTAGCGATTGGCGTCGCAAAAAATTGTTGGACGCCCCACAATCGACTAGAGCTCGAAGGGACAACTTATTCGTCACTTCGAGTTTCAAGGTAATGAGTGAGATCTCATTACCTAGAGCAGCAACTCACAACGTTTGTGTGTTGGAAGCAACCTTCATCAAGAGGCCTACAAATTCTCTTGACGTTGCTGGATCAGTAGGTGCGGAGCACCTACTGATCCTGTCCGTTTTTTGACGGTCCATCCCGTTGTTGCGTCTTTGCACCAACTGCGGACCCGCGTCCCTGCCCCTTTCTCATGGGTGGACGGTCACTACGCCCAGTGTCGCGAGACACTGGACGAGGGGCACTACACTCGTAAGCGTAGTGTCCTGTCTTTTGACATCTATTGCATTTATGCAACTTCTTGTAGTCTGTAGAGCGAGCCTTCTCGCTCTCTACATAACAGACTTCCATCGGCTCTGGACCTCCGCTGTCATATCGTCTCGGTTGACGATATGATGACGAGCTGGCGCGAGCCTGTCTCAGACTGAAGTCTTCCTGCTCCGCAATGGTAATTGCTTGTTCTAGTGAATCTAGTTCAAGTCGTAACAGGTGAGTCTCGACGAGACCATCCGCAAGACCATGCATGACCACCGAAACCGACGTGTGTTTATTTACCGGGTTGGAACTTATACAGCTCGTAAGATGTCGTATATGTTTTGCGTAAGCGTGCACATCACGCTTACCTTGTCTGAGCTTCACGAGTTCAGTTCGAGCTCTGAACTCAGCTCTAGGCTGTTCAAACGTTTGTCTGAGCCGCGACTTGAAGACTTCCAACGACCCCGACGCATATGGGTCGTGCAACTTGAGCCCCAAAGCCCAAGTCTTGGCACGTCCTGCCAGATTTGATTGGGCAAATACAACTTGTAACGGGGCACCCTGAAGCTTGTACTGATGACAGTACAAGCTACTTATTCTGATGACAGAATAAGGCGGTGCCTCGTAACTTCACGTACACTCGTACGTGCAGAGGAAGACGGTAAGAAGAAGCGAGTACTTGGTTAAAGTAAAAAGTAGAACTGTCTTTATAATAGTTAATGTCTGTTAATAAACCGCTATTTATTCATCCTCATCTAACTATGTCTAAATACAAATGTGTAAATCAGTTATCTGCTCACCACTCATTGCGTGCGTCTGTCGTGGCGCGTCTTCGTTGGTTGATATAATGGCCTATATCAACCAATTAGGAACTAGTCGTAAGTGCTACAGAATATTTGTCCTTATGACAATATTCGGAGAATACAACTCTTATAGTTATATTCTATTAACAATTTCTTATAAATTGTTATGTAACGATTCACCCCGTTACATCACCCCCCCTTAACCATCAGTCACTTTAGTGACTGATTGACTAAATGGATACTCGTCCCAAATCATTTGGGACAGGGTTTGCACTTGTTGGTCCGAGTCCACTTTCCAACATCTCATCGCATGGTAAACAAGCCCATGCGGTGCGCGAACAAGGCAGCTGAGAGCGCGTCTACACGTCTCTGTGCAGGCACGGAAGCAGAAACCGCTGCAACCGATGTGCCATCGGTTGCTGAAGCGACTCAGCCTGTGTCACTTGGTGACGCAGGCGCTGGTCATGAAGACACTCATGTCTTCACAGAGTATGAGCTCGGTGTCTCATACTCTCCTGATACGGAAGACAGATCCGTATCGACGGCGATCGAATCCAAGCCGCCCGAATAGCGTGGCATGGACGATGCTATGCGTCGTAGCATCTTTGGTTCATCTGATTCATCAGATGAACCATCGCCGAAGCAAAGGCGCTCGAGGTCGCGAGACTCGGGCGCTAACAGTGGTGTCGGTTCTCCTATGGACACCACTTCGCAACGAGGTGCCAGTACTTCTGTCGGCACGACGCAGGAAGAGCGGGGCCGCAATGTGTTGCGTCTCGCTCCCGAGAAGAAAGCATGGCTGCCACCAAAATCCGTCATGGATCACTTGTCGGCGACGACGAGTGATCGTTATTGAACACGGTCGTTCGATTCGTCAAGGATCCATCACCTTGATCCCAGTGCAAAAAACTATCGCGCTGAACATGAGTTCTTCATCGATGCTTTCCTTAGACATCGATGGTACAGTGGGAATCACAAACGTGATGGTCCCTCACTACTTCAGGCGTGGAACGCCTACATCCATAACCTTGAGGATGTAGGTCGTGACGCTTGGAACGACAAACTTATCAAAGCTCGTAATAAGTTTGAAAAGAGAACCCCGACAGGTGCACGCTACAAGCTGCATCGTCTGTCAAGGGAGAAAGGATTACCCTGCCTCTCTTGGGGAGACTCGTGCCCATGTTGTGTGAACAACTCTGCACGAGCACCTAAGGAGGCTTACCTCCTTACCAGCCCGTGGTGGCGCGTACGTGTCTCTACTGAGATGTACGAAGGGATTGACAACCTGAAATCCCTTTACGACCGTGCCGGGAAGACTTTCTCCGGCGGTCCTTCTGCGGCACAGGATGTGCCGCGTCGTACTGCTCAACCAGACCCAGTACGTCGATCATCAGTTGGGAGCGGGGCTCCCAAGAATCCCAGGACGGGGGATAGCCACGCCACCGAACGAGATAACTCGTCCGACGTCCGTTCACGTCGCGGTGGTTCAGCAGCTGCTCAACTAGATAGCGCTGGCCACCGCGAGAGTCCTCTAATGGAGGTGGAGGAGGAGGAAAGACGCTCTCCACACGATCATGTGGATCGGTGTGTTCCCGAGAGCTTCTTTGATCGCGTAACGCAAGGGTTACGCGACGATCTCGAGCATGAGCGGAATAGGCGTCTCCAGATGGTGGACACTGCCTCGAAGCATCGAGCTGAGTTTGCCTTTGCTCAGCTTGAGAACGAGAGATCTCTGACATCTCTTCGTGACGAGCTAAGGGTAGCTCGTGGGATTGTTGATCGGTCTCGGGCTGAGATAACTGCTCTTCAGACCCTTGTTGATGCCCACCATCGGGAGCACAAGGCTCTCTGCGAGATGCTTGAGCGCAAGGGCGTTCTTCATCGGAAGAAGCAGCGTACTGATGGTACGGCTTAAGCCGACCAACGTAAAACGTGGGATGTGTTCGCATCTTACGTGGTAACTCGATCGTGTATGCATTGCCTAGGCGGTGCAATACACGAAATGGGCCAATGTACTTGGGTAGTAGTTTACTGCTACCCAAGTTAGACACTACATGCTTTGGTAGATTAACCGTAGACAGTAGGACTAAGTCACCTTTATTAAATAAAAGAGTGTTTGCCCTTCCATTCTTGTCAGCGTTTTGCTTTTGCTTATCCACCGCTTCGGCGATGGAGTCTTCCACAAAACGGACTACCGTTTCACGAGCCAGTATGAACTCATCTGATGACTCGTTAGCTTCAGTGTGCTGTGAGTGCACTGCAGCAACATCAATCTTTTCTTCAGTGAGGGCTTCCGCACTCTCACTGGCATCATCTTCTTTGATATCGATGTTATCGATATCGGCATCAAACGCAATGACCTCTTCGTCAGAGCGTGATGAGCGTGAGCCAAATCGGTTTTTGCTCGCGCGAGTCTCTCCCCCCTTAAACCAGAGTTACACTCTAGTAAGGTGGGTACACGCGGATGGCGCAAGCCATTTACGTAAAACGGTGTATGTGTCGTGGACGCATGCGCCGAGTTGTTAATGGCAAACTCTACCATTGGCTAGAACTCACTCCAACTCTTAAAGGAGTGTACGTATCCTCGAAGTATCTCTTCAAGGACATGATTGGCACGTTCCGTCTGACCATCTGACTCTGGATGATCAGATGTAGACATCTTCAAGCGCGTTCCGAGTGATTTGAACACGGAACGCCAGAAATCAGCAGTGAAGCGTGGATCTCTGTCTGATAAGAGTTCACGGGGCAACCCATGAAGTCGGAAGATGGTGTCAATAAAGACATAAGCACAGCCACTTGCCGTGATTGTCTCTGGTACAGCCACAAGGTGTACCATTTTGCTGAATCTGTCAACAAGTACGAGAATACCCGTATTCCCGCGTGCGTCTTTGGGTAACCCGAAGACGAAATCCATTGAGATCGATTCCCAGCACTCAGCCGGAACCGGTAGAGGCTGTAAAGGTGCACGCAGTGAAGGACTTGACTTCACTCGTTGGCAGACTTCGCATGCGCGAACATACTTTCGCACAAACTGATACTGGCGGGGCCAGTAAAAGTCTCGACTTACCGTGAGATATGTTTTCTCTTGGCCACGATGTCCTCCTATAGGAGCATCGTGATACTCGAACATGATCCGCAAACGCAGATCAGTATCATCTGGAATGACAACACGTGGTGTGTCACCAGAAACGGCTGTATAATACAGTAAACCGTTACGAGCAGTGTATCGATCTGCATCAGATCGATACGCAGACGACAATCGTTTCAACGATTCTCAAGATGGTTGGGAGAGATGTGTCAACAACTTCACTATCTCACCATCTTGGGCGTATGCCCGCCTCACATCATCATACAACGTTGTAGATGGGACTGAGGACGTCATAACCGCAACAGTGACTGTCTCACTGTTGGGTTTCGCGACTGTTTCAAAGTCGGGACGACGTGAGAGTGCATCAGCGACGACATTAAGTCGTCCTGGTTTGTACTCGACCGTAAAGTTGTATTCTGCAAAGAATGACAGCCACCGCGCCATTCGTTGTGAAAGGTGCGGGCTGTTCACTGCCGTGCGTAATGACGCATGGTCGATGTAAACAACGAAGGGTCTATATCCTAATAGATAGACTCTGAACTTCGCGAGTGCATACTTCATGGCAAGGAGTTCCTTGTCGTGCACTGGATAGTTCCGCTCAGCTGGTTGCAGCTGACGCGACTGATAGCAGACGACGCGTTCAACGCCTTCAAGATCATGCTGCATTAATGCACAGGCGATTGCAAAATCGCTGGCATCACAGACCACATGAAATGGCCTGTCCTGATCGGCTATTGCTAGGACTGGGGATTGTATCAAGCTCTGCTTGATACCATCAAAGGAGCGATGACATTCAGCGTTCCATAACCACCTCTCGTTCTTTTTCAACAAACGAGAGAGGTGCACAGTCATCTCGGCGTAATTGCGTGAATACTTATGCAAATACGCCGCTAGCCCAAGGAATTTGCGAAGACCTTTGACATCAACCGGCACAGGCCAGTCGGTGATCGCCTTGATCTTTTCGGGATCAGGACGTACACCGTTCTTACCAACGATGCACCCAAGAAGTGGTATTTCGCTTGCTGCAAATATACACTTCTTGAGGTTAGCATACAATTGGTGCTTTCGCATGATTGTAAGAACCCGTCGGACGTGGTACCTGTGAACCTCAACGTCCGACTTTCCATCCATAGCTCGACTATGGATGAATACGTCATCGAAATAACTCGGCGCGAACTCTCGTACTGGTCTCAACAGATGTGATACACATCTGTTGAACGTGGCAGGGGCATTACTAAGCCCTTGTGGCATTACCAGCCATTCTTAGAGCATGCCGCTAGGCGTGCTCACTGCGGTATAGGGTATATCCCGTTCCCGCATAAGGATTTGATAGAAGCCATCCATCAAATCCATGGACGAAAAGATGGTGCTCTTTGACATACCATCAATGATTACGTCCTTCCTCGGTATCGGCGTCTGAGCCGGTACCGTTGCAGCGTTCAATTTGTTGAACGCGTGCACTATCCGCCACCCTCCTGTTGCTTTTCGCACACAGAAGGTCGGAGAGCTATGTGGGGAAGTTGATTACCTCACATGGCCCGCAGCTAAACGATCGGCAAAGAACTTGTCGATCGCTGTGACCTGTTCACGAGGCAGTGGCCACTGCTTCATGACACAGTACTTCGAGCTTGGTTTAAGCTCGACCTTGTGTCGAATACCTTTATCCTTCGGTAATTCGCACGGAACAGTTTCAGGGAATACATCCTTGAATTCAACCAAATCTTCATAGAGAGGATTTGTCTTGAGCGATTCCCATGATTGGGAGTCATATCGCTCAATTCGTGTCTTTTCATCTAGGACACTCTCGTCCATAGATGAACTACTGAGAACTCTCTCGTTCTCAGTGAACAATGTTGCTGACCTTATGTCGGTTACACACTCGTCGTCAGCGACGAGTACGCAGATCTGCTTGACTTTGCCACTACGCAGATCACGCAAGAACCTTTTATGTTCGAGCGTTGGCAACTGAGTGATCTCCGAAGTTAACTTCGGAGGCGCAATCAGATCAAGTGTATAAGCGCCTACACTTGATCCGTTATTGACTATAACATTCAATGTCTCTGTCATTTCCTGGGGACTTATTCCCTCAGGCTTCGAAGGACTTATTCCTTCGTCTTCCCGGGGACTTATTCCCGCGGGTTTCAAGGAGCTCATTTCCGCCGTATTTGTAATATCGGGACTTATTCCCTTTACTTCCTCTAGCTGGGGTTGCGCAACCACAGCAAGATCCTCTACGAAAGACTCTCCAGTCGATCTAGGATTATCGTTTCGCTTAACCTGAGCGATCGATTGTTTCTCTTCTAGATGTTCCCCGCTAGGGATACATCTTTGTCCCAGTCCACCCGACTTATTCGAGTGGTGGACCTTCGGCGCAGCCTGTGTTTCCTCACAGCCGCCGGAACTTTGCTCCGAAGTGTAACCGTTTGTTACACTAAGGTTTTGTGCAGTCGTACTAACGACCGTACCACAAGTGAGGCCATCGCACTCACTCGTAGTACATCCACACGCTTGTGGACGCTCCAAAACGTTCACTAGATGGCCATCTGATGAACAAGCGGCAGGCATTGTTACTGTCCGATGTTGCCAGTTTACCCGTGGTTCGTACCTTCTGAGCCATGGATTTGGATGACAAATTTGATGTATTCCAAGGATGACATCAAATTTGTCATCCAAATCCAATACGATGAAGTCATCGTCATATTGGGTATCTTCTAGCGTTTAGTGGATCTTCACTATACGCTTCATGACGGTTACGGATGCGCCTGTCGCAAGACGTACCGTCATCCTCGTAGGAGGTGTGTCACATTCACTGAACTTAAATGACCATCTTCTAGCGATTGGCGTCGCAAAAAATTGTTGGACGCCCCACAATCGACTAGAGCTCGAAGGGACAACTTATTCGTCACTTCGAGTTTCAAGGTAATGAGTGAGATCTCATTACCTAGAGCAGCAACGCACAACTTTTGTGTGTTGGGAGCAACCTTCATCAAGAGGCCTACAAATTCTCTTGACGATGCTGGATCAGTAGGGTGCTCCGCACCTACTGATCCTGTCCGTTTTTTGACGGTCCATCACGTTGTTGCATCTTTGTACCAACAGCGGACCCTCGTCCCTGCCCCTTTCTCATGGGTGGACGGTCACTACGCCCAGTGTTGCAAGACACTGGACGAGGGGCACTACACTCGTAAGCGTAGTGTCCTGTCTTTTGACATCTGTTGCATCTCTGCAACTTCTTGTAGTCTGTAGAGCGAGCCTTCTCGCTCTCTACATAACAGACTTCCATCGGCTCTGGACCTCCGCTGTCATATCGTCTCGGTTGACGATATGATGTCGTGCTGGCGCGAGCCTGTATCAGACTGAAGTCTTCCTGCTCCGCAATGGTAATTGCTTGTTCTAGTGAATCTAGTTCAAGTCGTAACAGGTGAGTCTCGACGGGACCATCCGCAAGACCCTGCATGAACACCGAAACCAACATGTGTTCATCCACCGGATTGGAACTTATACAACTCGTGAGATGTCGTATATGTTGAGCGTAATCGTGCACATCACGCTTACCTTGTCTAAGCTTCAAGAGTTCAGCTCGAGCTCTGAACTCAGCTCTAGGCGGTTCAAACGTTTGTCTGAGCCGCGACTTGAAGACTTCCAACGACCCAAACGCATGTGGGTCGTGCAACTTGAGCCCCAGTGCCCAAGTCTTGGCACGTCCTGCCAGATTTGACTGGGCAAATGCAACTTGCATATCCCCGTCGTCGATGCGACGCGCCCTTATGGCGTCATCCAATTCGACGAACCATCTCAAGAGGGAGTCTTCTTCGACCCCCCTATACTTTGAGATGTCAATCTTCAAAGTCTCGGGTCGACGCGAGTGCATCGACCCACCAGCAGCAGCCTGCTGCTGTCTCAACAGTTCAAACTGTTGAGCACCTTGTTCTCTCAACAACTCTGCTTGTTGAGAACCTTGTTGGTGAAGCAAGGCTACTTTCTCGCGTTCAGCGTCAAGTTCATTTTGAATGAACTTGGCGATAGTAGCATGTTGGGCATCTCTATTGAGAGCCTCTAGCATGACGCTAACAGCATGGATGCCCATGGTTGAACCCATTCGTTCAACCGCATCCCATTCGACATCACTCAAATGGGAGTAGCCGTCACGCGTAGCGTGAAAGCTTTGGTCATCTTCATCATCCAACATATTCATGTTGGATGTGAACGTGGTCCTTGGACGGACTACGAAGTGCTACCAGGTGTAACGGGGCACCCTCAAGCTTGTTCTTATGACAGTACAAGCTACTTATTCTGATGACAGAATGAGGCGGTGCCACGTAACCTCACGTACACTCGTACGTGCAGAGGAAGACGGTAAGAAGAAGCGAGTACTTGGCTTAAGTATAAAGTAGAAGTGCATTTATAATAGTTAATGTCTGTTAATAAACCACTGTTTATCCTCATCTAGCTATGTCTAAATACAAACGTGTAAATCAATTATCTGCTCACCACTCATTGCGTGCGTCTGTCGTGGCGCGTCTTCGTTGGCTGATATAATGGCCTACATCAACCAATTAGGAACTAGTCGTAAGTGCTACAGAATATTTGTCCTTATGACAACATTCGGAGAATATAACTCTTATAGTTATATTCTATTAACAATTTCTTATAAATTGTAATGTAACAATTCACCCCGTTACAGCCGCTTTGGCCGGCGCCTTCCGTTCAGTTTGCTCTAGCGCATCGATTCGCATCGTTACCACACAGAAGTTCGTACCGAGCGCCGATGCGGACAAGCCACTCTCGATGGCCCCACGCATTTGCTCGTCTTCATCGAGCTTGAGCTGGCTCGCATCCATGCTCTCCATGCGCTACGAGAGCGCATCGAGCATGGCAAAAATCTTGTCTTCCTGCCGGCCCCTTCCGTGGGCCTGCGCATCTTCAATGACGGCGGCAGCACGAGGCGAACTCGCTGGAGATGGTCCACGTCCCGGTGAGGCTCTCGCTTGACCTGCTGTAGTCGGTGTTGCGTTGGCGTCTTGTGGTCCAGCCATTGGGCTCACAACCTCTAAGAAAGGATAGGCGTGAGGCGTAATAGGTGATTCGATTCTGTGTTCATCTATCGCTTCTGTCGCCCTTGCTGTGCTAGCTAGCTGCGATCTCTCTGCAGCAACCACTCTCTAGCATCGGCTTGACTCTTCACACACCTCTTTACTGCCTTCTTTGCGTCACCTAGCGCTACCAAAAAGACGCATCCTTCCGCGCCGCCAGAAACTGCGATACGACTAGACATGCAATTTCTAACAGGTTTCATCTAAATTAGTGGGCCCCTTCGCTCCGTTGGTCATGGTTGCCAATGTTTGTGAGATTTACTGTAGCTATGTGGTCAAGTCCGCTCTGCTTTCAAGAAGTCACGTCACATCTCAGCCACGACTTAAATGTCCGTCATCTTTATGTCAGCTGTGATATCCAAAAACAGTCATATTGTATTGAACAATGGCTCACGTGCAAGCAAGTAGCCCGAGCTCTCCTAGTTGTTCGTGACCCTCTAAACCCCGATGTCGGGCACGAAAACAATTGATGGTTGAATTTAGCTTAAACTACTAAAAATAAGATTTGCGCAATAAACCTGCGAAACCGGATACCTCTGTTGGCACCCACGCACTTCGCGATGGTCTCCGCGTCGAGCGGCTCCCGCAAGACGAAGAAAAAGAATGGCAAGAAGAGCAGCAAGCGCAAGCCCGTGAACATGCAGGCAAACTTCAACAGTAAGTGCTCGTTACCTGGCACTCGTACCACAACCCTCGATGCCTCACTGGGAGCGATAAGTGACGCCATGTTCCCGTCCAATGATCACCATCACGCGGCGGTTGACGCTCTTGATGCAGATGGCTTTGCCTGTGGAGACTTCCATTTGCACAGGTGTGGAACAGAAACCGTCACTCGTTATACTCGCTGAAGAACTCCCTTTTTTATATTGGTAATTATGCTCGTGTGGATTCATAATCAAAAACGTTCCGTGCAAGTAGCACCTGCAGTGATGGCAAGCTTAAGCCCAGTGAGGTGATTGCCAAGGCTGTGGCCAATGGCGTGACTTTTATGTCGCTCACAGACCATGATACAATGGCTGGAGTGAGTGAGGCTATTGGTGCAGCGCAGAAACAGGGCGTCTTGGTCTTCCCTGGTGTCGAGATCAGTGCTGAGGTGAAAGGTGGAGAGAACCTACACATCCTGGGCTATTTCTATCCCGGATCGAATAGTGTCGAATTGGAGGAACAGCTGCTCAAGATCCGTACGGGGAGGTACAAGCGTGGCAAAGGAATGCTCAAGAAGTTGGTGGGTGCGATAGGGGGAATGGTGGCTTGCCAACGATACTTTGTGACAGAACTAATGATTGGCATCGACTTTAGGAGGCGATGGGCATCAAACTCGAGTGGGAACGAGTACTGGAAATTGCAGGAGAAGCGGCACCTGGTCGACCACACGTGGCTGAAGCTCTTGTGGAAGGCGGGCATGTCGTTGACTTCCGCCAGGCTTTTGCACGGTACCTGCATAATGACGGTCCTGCGTACGTCGAGGTACGCGATGCTGTATTTTATTGCATACACAGGGTTGTATGGAGGCAATACGTAATTGTTGCTTGTTGTTTTGTACTAGGGTGAGAACTTCCCACCTGAAGAAGCTATCAAGCTTATTGCTAGCGCCGGCGGAGTCTCTGTTCTTGCCCACCCCTGGTGCTGCAAGGTAGACTTATACAAACATCTTTGAGGTTGCTAGTTGCTAGACCGCAGTTCTCTCATGTAACCTCTTTGCTCGTAACAGAACCCGATGACGCTAGTTCCAGAACTAGCTAAGCTAGGCATTCAGGTACGTCACGCACACGATGCTACTTTACGGTCGAAAGACATGTACTGAGGTGTTGCTTGACGGGTGCTCTTCAGGGCATTGAGGTTTATCATGATGTGAATAAAATTGACATGTATGGCGCCTTGGCGAAGGAATCCGAGTTGCTAAGAGTACGTAACGACACAAAGTAGGCAGCATTGTCGCGGAACTCATATTTGTACGTGCTTGCTCTATCAGATGGGTGGATCGGATTTCCACGGCATTAACCCAATGACGGAGCGTGCACCTGGTGCTATTCCTTTCCCACGCTTGCATGTTGATCGTTTTCTTGCCCACGCTTTACAAGTGTGGGAGCGTCCGCTTGTAGAGCGATTGCAGTCTATTACGAAGTCCATCAAGCTGGCAGGTCCGGGTGCGCGTGCGTCGGAAGAGTTGCTTATTTGGAGAGAGCAAGAACCACTGGCGCGCCGAACGTTAAACGATCTAGGCATGACAGCGGAGATAGTGGAGAGCCCATGTATGCATGCCCGGGTCACCCCCCTCAATGGCAGCATCGATAGCGACAGCCACTACCGAACTATTCGCGTTTCTTCTCGTGGTGAAAAAGGTGTCTAGAGTTTACGAATGCAAGGCAAGTATTCTGTATGTTTCAGTCAACAACTTGCCGTTTAACACAAGAGCTAGCACTTGCAGTGTTTAGCGCCGCTTCAGCAGTTCAAAGACCAATTCGACGTTGGTCCGACCCATGTCTTCGAAAGCTTCGGTTTTCGTCACCGCGTCGAAGTTGCTGAGTATAAAGGTGATGCACTGGTCTCGCAGCAGTGTTGCATTGTGCAGATCTGCAGCATGAAAAATGCTAGCAGCGTTCTCGGTGCACAACGACCCAAGCATTTTACCTTCGCAAATGCGCTTCAATCGCTCGACACCATACTATTTCACACAAACTCAAGCGTATGTTAGCATATGCATAAGTTAGAGTCGTCTTGAAAGCGCACGTACCCGATCCGCGGTAGCAAACAGCTCCATTGCAATGTCCACGGCTACGTCTAGATAATCTGTATACAGGTACTCCATCAACAAAAGAAAGACTGGCCGACGCACTTCGGTGATAGAAATCTCGCGGGCACGGCTTTCCAGCATCTACAACGCCATTAGCAGTTAGTTCGTACTCTACCACCGTCGCAGTACTCACATGCGTTACCTCTCCTGTAAGCATTGCATTGAAGTAGTAGCAGCGGATGCACAGAATCTTGTGTCCGTAAACGGGAATTCCCTCAACTGTAGTAGACACAGCATATTACACATAGCGGTGTAATCAGTGCTGACAAACTTCCGCAGCAATAACGTAATCATCTCGCTGTGAGTACCGATAAACGTGACATCACTCATGATGTCGTTGTTCACCAACATTCTTAGGTCATTGGTAAGCGTGCCCTCAGGAATATCCAGCTGAAACTGCGTCTTCTTGAAGCGAAATTGCTGGAAGTCATTTAACCGCCTATTTCCATCGTAGCCACCAAAGATGATCAGGCTGGAATCATAAACGGTGCCGACGTGACAAAAGCGGTGTTCCGGCGGCTGGCCGTCGAACTGCATTGGTCGCCAGGTGTTCGACTCTTAGTTTAAGCGAACAAGCAGAACAAGTTAGCGCCAGTAGTCGGATATCCATATGATTGGGCCACTCACCAAAATTGAGCTGATAAAAGTCGTTCACTGCAGTGCCCGTGCTGCCGCCAAATATGTACATGGAATTTAAGTGAACACCAGCAACATGACTATCACGAGCAGCGGGTGCAGGTCCCTGGGTTGTAAGCCATGACCAGACCCGCGTATCTGATGTTTGAATGTCAACGTGAAGCACATATTCGCCTGTTAGTAGAGTACACTTCTTACACGGACTTCCAGACACGTACCAAAGTCAAACACGTGGATATCATCAAGGTGGTGAGACCCATCGTGGCCGCCAAATAGTACGCATGTGTTGTTATGCAGCACCAACGATGCTCGATATCTGGTGGAGTAAACGGTGCAAAGCCGTTCAATTCGATACGCCATCAGAACGAGTCGAGCCAGAGCTTACCGAGGTCGAGGAAAAAGCCCTGTTGAAGATACTGGCGACCAAACATTTGTTTCTAAACGAACAAAACCAAAGCAGTAAGCTAACACGGCAACTACGCTATCCACGGCTGCAATAACTCAAAGTTGAACGCACCAAAGTTAAACTCGTGGAAGTCATTTCGGTAGTTTCCATCGTAACCTCCGAAGCAGAACATAGACTCGCCTGGTTGACACATTCCGAACCATGCGGCTATATCAGTGAGACAATCATCTTGTCGCCCGTATCTAGGCCATAAACGTACCGTACACGACAGCAGCATGACTGTGCCGCGCTGTCGGTGGCATTCCAGCAGTCACCATAACATCTCTCCATCGTTGCGTAGCTACAGACAAAAATGTTTACCACCAAAAGGTTTGTGTCAATAGCAGTATCTCACAATGCACCACTTCCAGTCGATAAAACATACAGAAGTTGTACTCGACAAAGTCATTGACGCGCGAGCTGCCGTCGAATCCCGCAAATACAAAAAAAGAGTTCTTGTAGACCACCGCCACATGGCGGTCACGAGGACTCGGAGCAGAACCAATTGCCAGCACGACTGACCAGAGCTTGCGGTTGAAGTTGAATTCGTAAAAATCATTCGTCCGATTCGATCCATCGTATCCTGAGCCAAAAGAGATGCAGCCATCGATCATGGAGAGAGCATCCAGTGAGCAACAATGCGGTGACGTCTAGTAGGGTCTTGTGCCCAAGCAACTTCCTCCAAAACTGATCTGAGCCCACCTCCGAAGACGTAAAGCGAGTCTTTGCACACGGCACACGCGTGTAGCGATCGGTGTCGAGGTGCAGCTGAAGGGTTGTCACAGGGTACAGGAACCCAGGAGCGTGTACTCGACTGCATCGTAGCTCGCGACGCCCTGGACAAGTAACAGCACGATCGGTACCTTTACTGTGGAATAATGTGGATCGAATTGATTGTCGTGTCGATATTGTGCACAGAACTGATTCTTAGCGTTCCGATTGTATTGTTGACATGTGATTGGCTCGAGTGATTTTATCGCGACTTTATGCCGATCAATTTTCATTTCGAAATTCCAAGACTTAGGGCATCATGGTACGTGCGGTTCCCGACTGCAGTCGTGAAGCTCGTTATAAAAGAGACTGACATGACGGATCTCGGCTTTTTCTCGTGCTTTGCAGTCAGGCATCGGCGGCAAGGGCGGAAAAGGAGGCAAAGGGGGAAAGGGGGTTACGTCCAAGCGGGCACCGCAGTCCCGGTCGCAGCGCGCCGGCCTCCAGGTATTTATTGCATGTACCAGCACTACCAGTCGCCTAATACTATGCACGATCCGTGACATATCGCTCACACCTCCTCGTTCTGCTACTGATAGTTTCCCGTGGGTCGCATCCATCGCTTCTTGAAGAAGCGTGTCGCCAATAACCAGCGCGTGGGCGCCACCGCGGCCGTGTATGCCGCCGCTATTATGGAGTACCTCACAGCTGAGGTGCTGGAGCTGGCGGGTAATGCATCTAAAGACCTCAAGGTCAAGCGCATCACACCGCGTCATCTGCAGCTTGCTATCCGCGGAGATGAGGAACTCGACACGTTGATTAAGGCCACGATCGCCGGGGGTGGCGTCATCCCGCACATCCACAAGAACCTCATTAACAAGCAAAACAAGAAGCGAATGCCGCTGTAGAAGCAGTCGAGACCCGGTCTTCTGAAGCAAGTGACGCCGATGCTTGACCGTATCCCTAGTCCTTTCGCAATTGCTCGCGCTCAGCTCGATGCGTACATAACTAAGTATGAGATTCTCCTCCTTCTTCTATTCCAGGGGCGCGATAAGTTGACATTTACGCGCTTTCCTTCGAGCGACATTCACATTCCAACGCGCTATATCTCCATTTTTACGAATACTTCAGGTATAATTCATGTACCATTTCTAACAAAAGACGTACTAATGATACGGATGATAACTATGACCTAAAGATCGATTGGGTACGCTACGAGAGGGGTTTGGTGCAACCTTGCGTCAACCTCACGCGGATCGCACACTTCCCCCTCAGGACCTTTGACAAGTAAAAGACAGTCAGTCAGTCAGTCAGTTAATCAAGTTATACGTGGCGCATGGAAAGCAGTGCGGACGGCGCGACGGCAGCGCCCGCCGTGGCAGCTCATGTGTTACCCGTGAGCGACTTCCAGCGCTACCTTCTGGCCACTTGTATACCGCTCTTTGGTCAAGACTCGGCGCCCTCAGTGGCTACTTTCAAGGCCGACCTCCACAATGCGGAAACGACCATCACTCTCGAGCAATTTGTCTCTGATTCGGCAACACGCGTGCTGCAGGTGCACTGCTGTCCAGTGCGTACCCAAGACCAGGACGTTGCAGTGGACGCGTTGACGTACGGCGTGCGCGTGAACTTGGGCATCGAGTACGTGCCTGGCAAGAAGAGCGGCGACGACGCGGTGTGTTTTATCAAGCGCTTTAGTGCCCCATTGGCGAAGGACCAGACGCTAAGTCATCAGCTGCAAGTGATGACGCTGGGTCTCGGCTCAAAGGCGAAGGGAGGAGACAAGGCGGACGCAGACACAGCCACGAGCAGTAGTGGGGAGACCGCAGAGGAGAAACCCAATGACAGTGGCAATCTACTTAGTGTCGTGTACAATTACGTGCACCAATCGTTCTCGCCACTGATGATTGAGTACTCCAAGGTGCACCAGCCTCAAAGTGAGACAAGCAACGTGAGTGAAGGCACGAGAGGATTGCCAGCTATTCGCCGGAGGATGAAGGAGCTCGAGTTGGCCTTGCTCCAGTATCAGCAGAATATCGAGATTCCTGAAGTAAACTTGGTCTTTCACCCAGTGATTCAACAAGCTGCTGATCTGGTGCGCGAGAAAAGCGTGCCGATCGATGTGGAAGCACTTGGTCTTGCAGAAAAAGTGGATGATTTAGTTTTTGTGAATACTCTGCAGGGAGGAGTCAGTAAGTGGATTAAGGAAATCCAGAAAGTCACGAGGCTGATACATGAGCCGCTACCTGGCACGGCAATGCAGGAAATCAATTTTTGGTGCGATTTGAATCGCGCGCTGCTTGCTGTCCAGGAGAAGCTTGAATCACCAGAAGTAGAGATTACGCTTGCGATGCTGCAACGGGCAAAGCGTTATTTGGCCACTGTAACGTTCAGCGCTGACCATGGTCTTGGCACAGCCATTCAGGTCGTATCCAGTATCATGACCCTAATGAAAGATTTCCCGATGCACTCCATTTTGTCAGCCACGGATATCAACCAGCTTAATCAAGGGGTAACTCTTGTCTTTACGCACCTGAAAAAAGTACGTGTAGCCGACTCTTATAATTTGGTGCGGCTACTACATTTCATGGAAGTGGTATCGAGCGACCTGACGCAGCAGGTTGTCAGTTTGCTGCGCGTGTACAGCCTTATTCAAGTTCCATTCAAGCAGTTCGTCCAACTGCTCTCTTCTTGTAAGGAGCTTTTCTCGAACTGGCACCGCCAGATTACAGCACTCTACGATCTTACAAAGGAGCTTTTTAAGCGACGAGGCGGGTCGATCAGTGCTGGGAGGCTTCCGTTGCTCGCAGAGTTGCAGATGGAGCATGTTGCAATTGAAGAGCGTTTGCTGGAATTGTATGAGTTCCGCGAGCAGCACGAAAAACTACGTGATGTGATCCAGAGGGTGCTGGGCGCTCCGAACGCTATTGGGCTCGATGGTCCACGCGTAAGTGATGGCACGAACGATGCACTCACTGAAATCGATTCGGCCTACTTTCAATTGAATTCGCTGGATCCTCTTGATATCTCGGGTGAAGGTGTGACTGCGTGGAAGAACCTGCGCAAGGCGTACGATTTGTGTATTGATCGCGTTGAAGGCCGTATTATTAGCAGTCTTACTAGCCGACTGAGTGCTACGTCGAACGCTGATGAAATGTTTCGTGTGTTTTCTAAGTACAACGCACTATTCTTCCGTCCTCGTATTCGCAGCGCCGTCCAGCAATTCCAGATGCAGCTGATTGAAAATGTTAAAGAGGATGTGAGCAACCTACAAGCTAAGTTCCGTTCCCACTATGCCTACTCGGAGGCGTCTCGCACTAGCAAACTGCGTGACATTCCTCCCATTGCTGGTGCTGTGATGTGGGCGAAGCAAATAGAGCGCAAGCTCAAAATGCTACTGTCACGTGTCGAGAGTGTACTAGGTGTAGGCTGGGAACAACATGTGGAAGGCAAGGCACTAAAATCGGCGGCCGAAGCATTTATTGCAAAGTTAAACCCGCAGCTTATATTCGATCAGTGGGTGAATGATTTGGCGTCAATGCCGATTTTTGACACCAAAAATATCGTCCTAAACATTGTCACGGAAGGCACGCCACAAGGCGAAAGGAAGAAATTGGTAGTAGCGTTCAACCAGCAGATCGTGACGTTGTTCAAAGAAGTGCGTAACCTGGAATGGCTTGGCTACCGAGTGCCTTTCACGCTTAAAATGATTGCCGAAGATGCGAAGTCGAAATACCCGTATGCAACGTCGCTGGATGCCAGTATTAAGACGTATATGCGCTCGTGTCGAAACATCCAGCCAGTCTTTGAAGCCTTGACAGCTGCATATATTCGTGATGTCCGTGCTACTGTTGGAAAAACGTTCTCGAAGGGCAATGAAATGCGATGGCACGCAGACGGTCTGGGCGAATATGTCACAGACCTTGCCACAAAAGTAGAGTGCCTGCACGACAAAGTGGATAACTTATCGCAGAAGTTGACTGACATTGACACGCTTCTGGATAGCATCCGGAATAACTCAGACTTCCAGGCCGCTGAAGCTCGAGCGGTCTTGGTGAAAGTTCAAATGCATGTCGACGAGCTGAGCTTGGCCGGATATGCAAATTTGCACGTGTTTGTTAAAAACATAAATGATATGATAAGTGAGATTCTGGGCGAAAAGCTCGGCGTTCTATTGCAGCGTTGGATTGCCTGCTTTGATCCCGAGCATGATGAAAAGTCGTTTCAAGCGACTCTTGTCGAGGCCGGGCTTACTTTATCGACTCATCAGATTCTGCTCAAAAATCAAGTGCTGTATTTGGAGCCTTCAGTTTGTGATGCTCGTCGGGATTGGTTGGCGCGGCTTCAAGACTTGCTGAATTCTGTGTGCGACTTGCCTAAGATTCAAACATCCTCGTATGATAACTTGTATGGAAAGTCGACGGTAGCTGCTACATTGTCACCGCCCCGCGAGAGTGCTAGTTCTAGGCGGCGAGATGCTGTGTTCAAGGAAGCTTTAAAGCAAGTATCGTTGGATCTGGTCACAAAAGCATACAGTGTGCTGGATGTCACGGTAAGCGATGTGGACAAATATGCGTCAACTTGGCTTCAGTATCAAGCATTGTGGGATATGGACGCCCATACTGCCTTAAGTAGCGTCGGAGAGGACGTCCTGAAATGGCAACAGATTTTGATCGAGATTAAGAATGAGCGCAACGCATTCGATGCAGTCTTTCACACGAAACGGTTTGGTCCCGTGGTGGTCAATTACCAACAAGTGCAAGCTCAGGTGAATGTGAAGTATGATGCTTGGCACAATGACTTCTTGGCGTACTTTGGTGATCTGCTACGTGATCAAATTAATTCGTTCTATTCGACGATTTCATCGAAGCGGACGCTACTGGAGCAGCACGCACTCGAAGCTGCAACCGCACAAGTCGTTGCCGCAATTACTCTGATCCAAGAACTGCGTCAGATGCGTTTCCAGTGGGAAGAAGCTGTGGAGTCATTCGTACAGGGGGAGCGCTTGCTGAAAAAGCAGCGATACAGATTCTCAGTGGACTGGCCGTCGCTTGCAAACGTGGAAGGAGAATGGGAAGCATTTATTCAGTTGCTAGAGCGCAAGACCCTCGCGATGGAAAGTCAGCTCCCGCAACTTCAGGCAAAAATAATGGAAGAGAAGAGCGCGCTGGACGGTAAAATTGCAAAGGCTGTGGCCGAATGGGACAATGCGAAGCCATTACAAGGTGACCAATCTCCTAGAGTGGCCACAGAATCACTCATTGTCTATGACAGTCGGTTCAAATTACTATGCGCTGAACAGAACAAGACGAATGCCGCACTGGACGCTTTGAATATGTCCTATGTATCAGGTATGGGAGGTTCTTCAATTGATGACAACCGCAGTTCGAGTAATGATCTTTCAAGAGCCATGGAGGAACTCTATGGTCTAGATGAGGTCTGGAAGAGCATATCTAAGGTTTGGATTCATGTTGATGAGCTGCAAGATACGCTATGGTCCGCGGTCCACCCCCGCAAAGTCCGGAAACAGCTCGATGAGATTGTTGATGAAATGCGCCGCTTTCCTTCTCGAGTGCAACAGTACGAAGCTTTTGAGCATTACGTATCGGTCATCCAGTTTCGTAAGTCGATGAATTCTGTGCTTTCGGAATTAAAGTCAGACGCTATTCGGGATCGGCACTGGAAACAGATCCTGCAGCTGCTTGACATATCATCCCCGTTCACGGAATTAACCTTACGCAGTTTTTGGGAATCTAGGGTCTCTGCCAATGACGAAAAGCTTACGTCGGTCATTCGTACGGCCCAAGGCGAAATGGCACTCGATGAATTCTTGCGTCAGGTGTCAGACTACTGGACCAACTATCAGCTTGAACTGGTCAACTATCAAAATCGTTGCCGAGTCATTCGTGGCTGGGACGAGATTTTTGCGAAACTTGATGAGCACCTCAATAGTCTGAGCAGCATGAAGCAGTCGCCGCACTACCGCGTGTTCGCTGAGCTAGCTACCAGCTGGGAAGACAAACTAACAAAGATTCGTAGTATTCTAGACTTCTGGATTGATGTCCAAAGACGCTGGGTGTATCTAGAAGGCATCTTTTTTGGGTCGGCGGACATCAAGCAGCAGTTGCCAAAAGAGTTCGCTCGTTTTCAAAGCGTTGATAACGAGTTCACTTCGACAATGAAGCGCGTCGCGCACAAGCCAATGATTGTAGATGTTGCCAACATCCCGAATTTGTACCATTCGTTGGAACGTCAGCAAGACATGATGGGCAACGTCCAGCGCGCTCTCGGTGAATATTTAGAGCGCCAACGAGCTGCATTTCCTCGCTTCTACTTTGTAGGTGACGAAGACTTGCTGGAGATGATTGGCAACAGTAAAGAGCCGATGCAAATTCAGCGTCATCTTTCGAAGATGTTTGCTGGCATATCCTCGTTAGAAATGGACAGCAGCGCCAACATTATTATGGGAATGGTGTCGCGAGAAGGTGAGGTCGTACGGTTCAAGGAACCAATTATGACAGCAGACGATACGCGCATCGATGTTTGGCTCGGCAAGGTAGAGAGACAAATGCGTACAACTCTATCGTTTCTTTTAGAGCAAGCTGTGTGCTCTTACCCGACAAACGACTGTGCCGATTCGTATTCGGGGTGGGTATCAGAATATCCAGCTCAAGTGGTTATTCTTGCCACTCAGGTGCAATGGTCAGGCGAAGTTGAAAGCGCTTTGAAGGCTGATGGGTGTAATTTATCGTTGCTTCTTGAGCAGTTAGATAAGCTGTTACTCGTCTTAAGCGAGCGCGTTCTAACGGATGTGAAGAACGACGAACGGAAAAAGTATGAACAGCTGATTACTGAATTAGTGCATCAGAAGAGCGTCACTAAGCGCTTGTGTCAGGCCGGGGTCAGTGGCATCGAGGACTTTCGTTGGCTATACCACATGCGGCACTATTTTCAAACAAATGAATCGGATCCACTCAAGAAGCTTACGATCCGGTTATCAAATGCAAGCTTTGCTTACGGGTTCGAGTACTTCGGTGTTGGAGAGCGACTCGTGCAAACTCCTCTTACAGAACGTTGCTACCTAACACTAACTCAGGCATTGGACTTTGGAATGGGTGGAAATCCATTTGGTCCTGCCGGGACGGGCAAAACAGAGTCAGTCAAAGCCCTGGGATCCTACCTTGGCCGCTTTGTGCTGGTGTTCAACTGTGATGAGCATTTTGATTTTCAAGCGATGGGACGGATATTTGTAGGCCTGTGTCAAGTTGGCGCTTGGGGCTGCTTCGATGAGTTCAATCGCCTCGAAGAGCGTGTGCTTTCTGCTGTGTCCCAGCAAATTCTGGCTATCCAAAGCGGTGTGTCATCACTAAAGGGTGAGAAGGCGTCTAATAGCTCGCCTGCATCAAGGAGTGGAAGCATTTCAAGTACTTCGATTGAACTGCTTGGTAAAAGCGTCAAGTTGAATCCCGATGTGGGAATTTTTGTGACAATGAACCCAGGCTACGCTGGGAGGTCGAATCTACCCGATAACCTAAAACAATTGTTCCGCAGCATCGCAATGGTTGCTCCGGATCGCGAGCTGATCGCGCAAGTGATGCTGTTTTCTCAAGGCATTACTACTGCTGAGCAAATCTCTGCAAAAGTCGTACTATTGTTCAACCTGTGCGAAGATCAGCTTTCGAAGCAGCCTCACTATGATTTTGGTCTTCGCGCGTTGAAGAGTGTACTTGTGAGTGCTGGTCAGCTCAAACGAAAGATCAGCCAGGCACAAGATCGTTCAAGGCTAGCAAACATTGAGGAGGTTGAAAAGAAGGCGCTGATCGGCTCGATCACTGATACGATTTTACCCAAGTTGGTTTCAAATGACGTTCCTGTGTTTGAGACATTGCTACAGGGAGTATTCCCAGGTACCGAGGCTCACTGCAGTGAAGAAAATACTCTTCGTACAAAGATCGTGGAGCTGGCAAAGAAAAGCAACTATGTTGCAACTAAGCAATGGGTAGAAAAGGCGTTGCAGCTTTACCAGGTCATGCACCTCCGCCACGGCGTAATGCTTGTTGGCGCGTCCGGGACAGGGAAATCGAGTGCGTGGCGCGTGCTGATGGACGCTATGGGACTTGTTGATGGTGTCAAGGGTGAAGCATACGTAATTGACCCGAAGGCTCTATCAAAAGAACACCTCTACGGTATCCTCGATAACACGACGCTAGAGTGGACGGACGGTGTGTTTACTTATTTACTGCGTCAAGTGCTCAACAGCGTGAGAGGTGAAAGTGAAAAGCGTCACTGGATCATATTTGATGGCGATGTAGACCCTGAATGGGCTGAAAACTTGAATTCTGTGCTAGACGATAACCGACTGCTGACTCTTCCGTCCGGGGAACGTCTTGAGATTCCGTCAAATGTGTGGATTGTGATGGAAACAGAGACACTGCGGTACGCGACACTGGCGACTGTGAGTCGCTGTGGTATGGTGTGGTTTTCACACGATACAGTCAAGACCTGCCATATCGTCGAGCACTATCTGCTGAAAATGCGGGATGACGTATCTGTCGTTTCTTCATTCTCCTTTCAGCCTAGCGAGAGTGAGCTGGCAACGAAGACTGCTCATACCTACGTTGCTCTTCTCCGAGGTTTGATTGATCGTGGAGATAGCATGCCTTCGCTGATCGAGATTTGTTTAGAGCAGGCAATGGGCCAGGCACACATTATGGAAGTCACAGCGCTGCGCCTACTGATGTCAATGTTTACGTTACTCGGACGAGGTTTGTCTCGTATAAATGAGTACAACGAAGGTCACTCCGATTTCCCAATGACAGATGATCAGATGTCCCGCTTTGTACCGAAATGGTTTGTGTTCTCGGTTCTGTGGGGTTTTGGAGGCTCCATGGACTCTGCGAATCGCATTGACCTATGTAATTTCGTGGTGCAAACGCTTGAAAATCGCTTGACATTTCCCACGTCTGGGTCGTCGAGCCCAGACAATAGTCTGCTTGAATATGAAGTTGATATCGGTGACGGCAAATGGCGTCAGTGGTTGCGATCAATTCCCCAGCTAGACCTTGAGAGTCACCAAGTGTTGGCGACAGATGTCGTAGTAACCACAGTGGATACAATACGTCATGTTGAAGTGCTGCGGGGATGGCTTTCGCAGCATCGACCGCTCATTCTTTGTGGCCCTCCCGGTAGTGGTAAGACGATGACTTTGACCTCAACGATTAACTCGCTTCCTGAGTTCGAATTCGCAAGCCTCAATTTCTCGTCTGGAACTTCACCTGAGCTCATTTTGAAAACATTCTCTCAGTATTGTGAGTACAAGCGCACCTCAAATGGAATGCTGCTAGCGCCAAAGGCACCAGAGAAATGGCTTGTTGTGTTCTGTGATGAAATCAATCTACCAGAGGCTGATCGATACGGAACGCAGCGTGTGATTACGTTCTTGAGGCAATTAATCGAGCAAAGCGGGTTTTGGTTAGGTGGCAAGAACACGTGGGTGCGGCTGGAGCGGATCCAGTTTGTTGGTGCTTGTAATCCACCAACAGATCCAGGACGCGTCCCAATTTCACCGCGTCTACTACGCCATGCACCTATTCTCTTGGTTGATTTCCCGTCTTATCCTTCACTAAAGCAAATCTATGGAACATTTAATCGTGCTTTGTTAAAGCTGACACCGTCGCTTCGATCCTATGTGGAGCCGCTTACCAATGCAATGGTTGATGTGTACGATAGCAACCAAAAGCAGTACACGGCCGAGATGCAGCCACATTACATCTACAGCCCTCGAGAGCTATCAAGATGGATGCGTGCTCTATACGAAGCCATTGAGCCACTGGAGTACGAAATAGACATCGAAACACTGGTAAAATTGGTGTTTCATGAGGCATTACGACTTTTCATGGATCGTTTGGTGACGTCTGAGGAGCAAAAATGGTGCTTTCATATGGTCAAGGAGACTCTGAGAAACTACTTCCCTCAAAGCGCCACATCTCTAGAGGTGGTCGAATATGGTGGTCAACACTCTATCTTGTTCAGTACGTGGCTATCGAAAAACTACGCTGAAGTCACAACGGCTTTTCTGCGCAAACATATTGAAGCCCGCTTGCGCGTCTTCTACGAGGAAGAACTTAACGTTCAGCTCGTAGTTTTTGACTCTGTGATCGACCATGTCCTCCGGATCGATCGCGTTCTCCGCCAACCCCTTGGACACTTGCTACTCGTTGGCGAAAGTGGTGCGGGAAAGACTGTCCTGTCTCGCTTCGTTAGTTGGATGAATGGAATGTCTGTGTTCCAAATTAAACTCACGTCAAATTATACATTGGACAACTTCGATGATGATCTGCGCATTGTGCTGAAGCGATGTGGTTGCGAAGCTGAAAAAATATGCTTCATCTTCGACGAGTCAAATGTGCTTGATTCGGCTTTCTTGGAACGTATGAATGCGCTACTGGCATCCGGTGAAGTGCCAGGTCTGTTTGAAGACGATGAATACTCGTCACTCATGCATGCTTGTCGTGAAGCTGTGCAGCGCGATGGAGTGATTATAGAAAATACCGAAGACGAGCTGTTCCGGTACTTCACCAAGCAAGTGCAACGCAACTTGCATGTTGTGTTCACGATGAATCCGGCTTCAGGCGGCTTCCAAAACCGTACTAATACATCCCCCGCCCTCTTTAACCGATGCGTGGTTGACTGGTTCGGTACTTGGAATGATCACGCACTCGCACAGGTGGCGTTTGAGTTTACAAACACACTAGATCTTGCTGGGTCTACGGACTTTGTCATTCCAGATGATGCCGTAGATGTCCTGGCGAAATTAAGCCCGCACATCGCTACAGGCACTTTTCGTGATGTACTGGTCGGAAGTATTGTCCATTTTCACCACGCTGTCCTGCTTCACATGCGTCGACTTCAAAAGCGTCACATGAAGCACAATCATATATCTCCGCGTGACTACTTGGAGTTCATTCGTCACTTTGTGTCGCTCTATTCTGAAAAGCGTGCCCAGCTAGAGGATCAGCAGCTCCACTTGAACGTTGGTGTGCAAAAACTGCAGGCTACCCATGGGCAAGTGGCAGAGCTACAAGGTCAGCTCAGTATCAAAGAGAAAGAGCTTAGAAAAAAAGACATTGAAGCTAACGAAAAGCTTCAGCAAATGGTGCAGGAGCAGAACGAGGCGCAAGAAAAAAAGAAAGACGCAGAGGCTCTTGCGGTTGATCTCGCAAGCAAGGACGAGGAGATCCGCACAAGGAAAGAAGTTGTTGAGGCCGATCTCGCTCTAGCCGAGCCTGCGCTTTTAGATGCTCAAGCGTCCGTGAACTCGATACGTAAGGCGCAGCTCGATGAAATTCGAGCACTCGCACGGCCTCCTGCTGCTGTCCGTATGACCATGGAGGCTGTCGCAGTGATGCTTGGCGAGTCCAGCCTGGAGTGGGCTGACTTGCGTCGCTTCATTCGAAAGGACGATTTCATCTCTCAAGTTGTTCACTTTGATTCTGAAAAGCTGACAGCTCGCCAGCGACACACCATTAAGATTAATTACGTTGACAAGGTTGACGAATTCGACTACGAAAAGGTCAATCGTGCATCGAAGGCGTGTGGTCCGTTGTACAAGTGGATCGTGTCACAGCTCAGCTACACAAATATCCTGCACAAGATCCAACCGCTACGAGATGAGGTGCAGACACTGGTTGACAAGTCAGTCGATCTGCGCGCGAGATACGAGCAGGCCAAAACGACTATTGATGCGCTCGAGATCCGAATCGAAAACTTGAAGCACGAATATGCGGCGTTGATTAATGAGGCACAACTAATAACCAACGACATGGCTTCGGTATCCAAAAAAGTAGAGCGTTCTGTTGCGCTGCTGGAAAGTTTGTTACAAGAAAGTGAACGATGGGAAGCCGGCTCGAACGACTTTGACACCCAGATGAAGACGCTCGTGGGAGACACACTGTTGTCCTCTGCTTTTTTAACATATATCGGTTTCCTTGATTTCCAGCAACGAAAGATTCTGGTTCAAGATTGGCGCGATATTTTGGACTCAATGGGTATCGGCACGAAACCTCAGTTGAGCTTCGTAGACTACCTGTCGCGTCCAAACGAACAATTGGAGTGGCAGATGAGCGGTTTGCCCTCAGACGAGTTGTGTTACGAAAATGCCATCATTTTGCAACGCTTCCATCGCTTCCCACTAATTGTAGATCCATCTGGGCAAGCGAACAATTTCATTATGAAGTATTGTAGTCTCACGACCAATACGAAGATCGCTCAGACTTCGTTTCTGGATAGCTCGTTTATGAAGGTGTTGGCTAGTGCAATTCGCTTTGGTACAGCTCTGTTGGTTCACGAGGTAGAGAACATTGATCCAATCCTGAACCCCGTCTTGAATCGAGAGCTTTACAAAACGGGTGGGCGTGTTTTGATTCGTCTCGCAGGAGAGGAAATCGACTACTCTCCGGATTTTCGACTCTTCTTGATTACAAGAGATCCGTCGTGTCGTTTCTCACCCGACGTTTGCAGTCGTGTGACTTTTGTCAATTTTACAGTCACGCCGAGCTCTTTAGAAAGTCAGGGATTGAGCATTCTGCTCAGAAGCGAGCAACCCGAAGCGGAGGAAAAGCGCAATAATCTACTAAAACTGCAGGGTGAATATCAAGCGAAGCTGCGTGAGCTGGAGGATTCTCTGCTGCAGCAAATCAATAACGTGCAGGGCAATATATTGGACGATGATCGCGTCATCAATGCTTTGGAAAGCATGAAAGCAGAAGCTGCCCATATTACACAGCAAGTGATAGAAACAGAATCCACCATGGCGATTGTGGAGGCAGCTACAAATCGCTACCGTCCACTCGCGAGGGCAAGCTCACGGTTATTTTTTGCACTGGAAAACTTATCATCGGTCCACTTTCTGTATCAATATTCGCTCGACTTCTTCCTCTCACTGTTGTCCAGGGTATTGTCCCAGCCAAGTGAAGGGGGAGAATCGGCGCGTCTTACCAGTATTTCTACTGGGCTCTTCGTGCAGCTTGCTCGACGCGTGAGTAGAGGTCTTGCTGAAAATGATAAACTGATGTTTGCGCTCCGTCTATCCCAGATTTATCTGGAGCTCGAGCAGCAAAGCACAGCAGTTACAGGCGTGAAGATGTCTGGAGATGATGACTTTGCTTTTGACGGGCCTACCGATGAGGACGTCAACTTGCTGCTCGGAAGCGGTTCAAATGTCCCTAACTACGAAATTGCTCAGCGCACAGAGCTTGAACAGATGATGCCAGCTTTCTCGAAGACTGAGATGAATCAATTGATACGATTGATGAAATTGTCAACGTTCAAGCATTTAGAGACGCATGTGCGTGATCATGCAGCTGAATGGAACATCTTTATTGAGACTCCTCTGGCTGAGGAGACCCTTCCAGTAGACTGGGACGCACAGTACGCAATTTCTTCAGCAAGGCCTCGTCTCGCTGCATTTCGAAACATGATAATTATTCACTATCTACGACCCGATCGGATCATGTTTGCGTCTGAGCGATACATCGAGCTGGTGTTCACAGCTTCATTTCCGTGGCGTGGCGACATTGAGCTCTCTAAGAACGTCGAAGATGACACTCAAGCAGCACGTGGTGTGCTTTTGTGTTCAACGACGGGATTCGACCCAAGCGCTCAGATCGATGAGCTTGCGGCTGCCCAGCGAAAGAAATATAACTCAGTGTCCATGGGCTCATCCGAGGGTTTTGACGCAGCCGAAAAAGGTTTGAACACAGCCTTGAAGCACGGCTCTTGGCTATTGCTTCGCAATGTACATTTATGCCCATCCTGGCTTGTAAGTGTGGAGAAGAAGCTCTACAATGCGCGAGAAAGTGTTCACCCGAACTTTCGTCTCTTCCTGACAAGCGAGATCAACCCGAACTTGCCAGTAAATCTCGTGCGCATGTGCGATGTCTTTGTGTTCGAGCCGCCCAGCGGTATGAAAATGAGTATGATTCGAACGCTTGACACGGTGACAGCTGAGCGTATGAACTGCTCACCAGCTGAACGGTCTCGGCTGTATTTGCTGCTCGCTTGGTTTCATGCGTTGGTGCATGAGCGATTACGCTTTGTACCTATCGGTTGGTCTAAAACATACGAGTTTAGTCAATCTGACTTTCGTGGCGCTTGCGATGTGATTGACCGCTGGGTCGACTCTGTGGCCTGTGGCCGTGCCCACGTCGCCCCTGACAACATCCCGTGGACAGCGATCCGAACGACACTGAAGGAATCCGTCTATGGTGGTCGTGTGGACAACACGTTTGATCGGGAATTAATGGATACGCTTTTGGAACACGTTTTCACGGCGGCCGGCTACGAGAACACCTTCGAGCTCGTTGCTTCTGATGATGGCAAGGATAATGGACTGGTGATTGCAGAGGGGAAGACTAAGACACAGTTTATGGAGTGGATCCTGGCTCTTCCCGCCACCAACCCACCTTCATGGATGGGTCTTCCTCGCTCGGCCGAAACGATGGTGCTTATCAGTCATGGTGTGCGCATGCTGCGTAATTTGCAGATAATGCAAGACTTTTACGGAAGCGACAGTGGGGACGATGACACTGGGGCAGATGAGGATAGCAAGATGGTTCTAGGCACTGCTACTGGAGATGGCGAAGACATGCGCCCCAAGTGGATACAAGACCTGGACTGCCGTATTGGCGTGTGGCTCTTGTTATTTCCCTCAGAAGAAGAGCTCCTTGTGCATACTGTGCGCGATTCGGTGCACTTTGGCAACCCAGTCTATCGCTGCATGTTCCGTGAGTTAGAGCTCGGCGGGAAATTCCTGGACGACGTGGGTGGCTTGTTACGTACGGTACAGCAAGTATGTGCTTACAAGGCCAAGCCTTCGAATGAAGTACGAGAGGCGATGGGTACGCTATATCGCGAGCAGGTGCCTGAGCGATGGAAACAGCTGTACCGTGTCTCCGCTGAGCTAAGCTTGAGTGAGTGGCTCACAGACTTCTCTAGACGCATACACCAGCTGAAGGAATTAGCACAGGTTGCTCCAACAGATATTCTGCAAAAACCCGACGGTGTTTGGCTGGGCGGATTCTTTTCGCCTGAGGCTTTTGTGACAGCCGCCCGTCAAAGCGCTGCTGCGGATCTTGGGTGCTCGCTTGATGAGCTTCATCTGCTTGCCAATGTGGACGACTCCTCGGCTTCATCAAGTAGTGGTTTTACTGCTCGCGGACTATTACTCGAGGGCGCCACTTGGGACTCCACCGGTTTTGCGCCGTCAGACCAAATCCGGAACAGCTTGCCAGCTTTGCGTCTTTGTTGGACACGTCAATGTGTGGAAACAAACAACCTTCGACTGCTACCAGTGTACTCGAACGGCAAACGCGAAACTCTGTTTTTCTCCGTGGCGGTGGATGCTGGTGGTGATTCCGCATTCTCTCGAACCAAGTGGGTGCAGCGCTCGGTCGCACTTGTGCTATGGGAGTTTCAGGCCTAGACGTGGCGATGATGACCCGGAGTAATCGAATCGATTGCCTTTTCAACCTGTCTTGACTATTTCTGGTTCGTTCCTGGGTATTCATTCTGTAGATGATTTATGCCATGTATACAGCTGGCGAATGACGCTATGACAATTAGCAACTACAATGACGAAGTTGTGATGCTTAATGCGCTCATCATACTCACCGCATGTTTAAGTGTACAATGTTATGCTTGATTTTTGTTGCTCATCGCCAGAGCTGGAGAACTCCTATCGCAGGTAAGATAAGTCTACACATCCTACGCGTTTTAAAGCGACGAAACGCATTTTAAAGTCATCTTTGAGATGACAGTTTTCATATTTGTTGTTAAAAGTGTTGACATCGCTTTTAATTTGCCTGAATGAAGATATCGATCTAAAATGCTCGAGTCACTGCATTTTTACAAAAGTGTCGAGAAAGTGGCTAAAACCCACCTAGCTGCTAAATTTGATGCTTAACTCGTAGCTGTTTAAAATATCTTGTAAGAAGGTAATTTAGTAGTATAATGTCAAAGAAAACAGAAAAAATGACTTTAAGTTTATCAGCGTAATATTTTCTCTAATACAGAATACTGAAGGTATATTGCTCTTAACGGGGGATATCGAGCATGTTGTAGGTAGGATTGACAGGTCGTTATGCTTGTCTAAATGATACTGATGTTAAGGTGAAATTAGGTCTGCTGCAAAAGTAAATTTGTGAGCAAGCGCTTAGCCCAAATGTTAGAGCGCATACCACAGCTCGTTAGCCAAGCTCCATGAACACTACACCATGAACGCAGCTGCATACGAGCGTGAGTGCACCAATTAAGTTACCTTTTCGTGCGACCCGCGACACCGGGCTCGCGGCTCTCTTCCACGAGCATCGCTTCACTGCCATCCCATTGACCTCAATGCCACTTCGACATCCCAATACACCGCTGCTGCATCAGGTTGGCAAGCACCAATCGCAAGTTGCCAACAGTCAGTCTGGTAGAGCAAGCTCCGTCGTCCTTCGATTGTTGTTGTTGGTATTTGCTGCAAGACAAGGCAGTTCGGAGTGCTCTTAGAACATGGATCACTTCCACATGAGCTGGCTTCAGCATGAGCACGACATTCAGCTCCGTCGAGCTACAGTGACTTGTGCAATAATCCAAAATTAGGAGATAGACAGCTCTCGAAGCCGCGAGCCAAATCTGAACCTTTTCCTTCTCCCCGTCATCGCTGGAATTTGCCGTATCTTGCAATTCCTTCAGTAGCAACAAAAATTTGCGCTTGCTTTCTTCGTAAAGGTGACATTCCAAAAGCGCCCTGCATGCTTCAGAGTGGTAGCCACAGTAGCTCAACAGATCTGCGTAGGCTAACAACGATGATCTAGCCCCTTGATCGTCCCCGCGCTTCTTTGCTCGAATCACTTTATTCGTGAAAAATTTTAAAGGCGGGAAAAGTGTCAGCGCCCGCTCTGCATGGGACCGAGAGAGAGATTGATGCCCAGTTAACCAGAAGAGCCGAGGACAAAAACAGTCGACGCATCGGACGAATGGGAGCACCGACCCAGGCTCGTACAGTAGATACAATCGGCTCATCGATTCCAGGTACATGTGCTTCGAAAACGAAGACGCTGCAACGTGGCAGAAATCGGACAAGACTCGCTCACTATGAAACAGCCGATGACTAGGTGCCATCTCCGCTCGGATCACACGACGAGTCCCACTAGATCGATGTTTATTCTTGAAAGCGACACCGTCTAATAGAAAAGACTCAAGCTGCAACAGCCACTGACGTCCTTGCCGTTCCAAGCTAGTGCTACAACCACCGGCGAAGCGCAAACTGCTCATGGGCCGCAATTTTCGACTCAGTCGGAAGTTGCGCGTATCCTCTGGGTCCAGTATCGAATCCTTCCGCTGAATACTGTGCTGCCTGTCATGCGCAATCGACAAATCGTCTTCGTTAGCGAGTACACCAGTCAGCTCGGTCATCGCTGAATACTGGTGGGTGCTCGCACATCGATCCGACGATTCAGTCATTGGTGGAGTCGGCAGATTACTACCAGCCGTTTCCAGGCAAGCAAGCTTGCGCTTGGCCAGGAAAATCCAGTTAGAGAGATGGTGCAGTGACTCCACATTAGCAGGTGTCAACCTAAGCAAAGGGTTTTCATTTGTTCTTGGAGTTATCGGATCACTCAGTCCTTCGGGTGAGCGAATGCTACTCGCAGCAGCATAGATCGAGGCTACGTGCCGCGTAAGTTCATGAACAATGTGCTCAGATTCAGCCCAATTGTCAAGAAGAGCCAAGACTAGTGCTGGACTTGACACAGCGTGCCACACTGTTTCCCACACTTCGGGAGAAATATGAGTCGGATTCATCGCCGAAGGAGTCAGTCTCGCCAAAATGTCAAGGCCGTACCGCACCGCATCCCAATGCGAATTACCTGTACCATAGTCCTTCACTGCTAGAAACGATGCATTGGGGAACTCACGTTTGTCTTTTTGCTTATCAGACTGCGGTTGACGCAAAGCGGCTGCAACCGCCTCTGCTGGGGGCAACCGGATTGTCCAGAATCCACACGGAGCCCATAACCCTACGGAGCTTGCCCCGCCTGAAATCGTCCAGAACTTGCATTTCTCACCTCCACGTCGCTGAGAAGAATAGGCCAATACATTTGGCAAGCTCACTGTCTCGAGAAGCTCGCCAGTGATCAGTGCGTAAACGTGAAGCACACTACAAGTGAGCACGAGGAAGACATGCCGGTGTGCGACAACGTCTCGCACATCAAATGCTTGGTCATCGTTGCATAGCGTATCACTACTGGACTGCTTCCAGGGTGTCAATGTAGTTATCCTTCGTACGAAAAGAAAAGTACACGACTCGTTATCATGCGTGTCACCGCTGAATATAGTGGACGTATTCGGAGACTTCGGTGTCACAATGTAGATTCCTCCAGACTCCCGATGTAAAATCACGAGTTCACCAGTCACACTGTGCAGACACAGAACAAACTGGGACATTTCCAGGGCTATGCTTTCTTCAGGCAAAAAAAACTGATTCCAATTTAGTGTCACAGTCTTAAGTGAAGATACCGAGCTGCGGAAGAACACCCCCTGCGATCGCGAAATCACAAAAAGACCCAATTTTGAGCTCAGTAGCTCAACAACATCATTACAGAATGGCTTCGGGATAAACGCATTCCCAACAACCACATCGGTTGCCCGCAGTGCATCAGTTGCGCGTTCGAAACGCAGTCGCCGAATTTTGAGCTTGGGCTCGTGCTTTGTTGCTCTTGACCACCAAATGAATTCCGTCGCACCACTTGGACCACTTTCATTGCCATTGCCACCTCTAGTGTTCAAACTTAAGGTCGACAATTTGCAATCCAGCGGTAAATCGCTCGTCGTAAACGCCACAACTGGTCTTGTCCATTTCAAATTCGGATTCTCAAGGAAACAAAGCTTGTTTAGAAACACCCACTGGAACAAATCTGCCTGCCATTCCCACAAAAACGCCATGCCATCGTCCCTTGCCACGACACATCTTAGCGGGGCTGCAGTGCTAATAACTCTTGAGGACGTGGTCGCTCCTTGCAATGATGACGAACCAGAAGACGCCGAAGCAGAATAACGGCCTCTGCTGTCTCCTCTTCGAAAAGATGTTCTCGGCAGCTGATAATAGTTTGCCGCACTCCGGATAAACTGAATAGAAACCACGCGGCAGTCGAATCGAGCACACAGTAGCGGAGCTTCGATCAATACACTGCCTTCTTTGCCCCCAGCAGCTCGTGTATGAGGTGCAAAGAGCTCTTGCAGCAGCTCCAGCTCGTCCACGTGCTGCAGCGGCGACTGCGCTCCCAGTGTACTCGTTTTTCTCCGGGTCTTGTCGTCCTGAGGTCCCCGTCTGGAAGGTGGAAGTGCATCCAGCACGTAGACAACACGTGGATCAGCTGGAGCTGGTGTAGTGGCAGTCGAAGACGGCGTCGTATTGCCATCATCCACAGAAGGGTCCAATGAAGCTCCTGGGGTGCGTTTCACCAATACTAGAGCCAAGTGACCGGCTGTCGGCACGCAAAGCTCCAGTTCATACGGAAACTCAGATCCTTGTCTTCGGTCATTTTCAGTTCCTTGATCTCCTTCTTCTTCGTCTTCGTGGCAACTGACTGGCGTAATGGCTTCTAACAGACGTGCGCCACGCACTGCTGGCCACTTGAGACCCCCACGCACCACGCGCGTGTGGTGGAAGGGCGCAGCGCCAGCGCTTGTCATGGAGCTAAGAAGCGAGACTTGATGTCTTCGGTGACTGCTGCAATTAGAAATGCAAATAGAAATAGCGTGCCTTGATTACGCTATCGATCGATCAACGGAACAATATGGATACTGTCTCGAACAAGAGTCCAAAAAAACCTGAAAGTAAGTATGAAGGCTTTTCACTTTCAAGTAATGAACTAATTGCGAGCCCGAAGGGCGGGGCTATTTGTGAGCCGAACTTTTTGTGAGCGTGCGCAAGGTGAATGCCGGACTTTTAATCGTGCTTTTCTGCCTGTCTGTCGGTAAAAGATGGGGGGCAAGCTCTGGAGCTCGCCCTTCGATACAAGTAATCGAGTTCGGAGGTCTGAATCAGGTTGCACAACAGTAGTACTAGTATACAACAGCAGTCATTAATGACTCAGTATGAACTGTAATTCATACAGTCCGGGCCGTAAATATAGAGTATCGATATTTTCACCCCCACTTTTTACGATTTCCCCCCCCTATCCTAAAATCAGATTCGTGTTTTATATTTAAGATAGGGGAGCAATGCTGTGGTTCTCGCCCTTTAATAAGGTAATTCAGTTCATCAAACTGAATCAAGATGCAAAACAGTATACAACAACAACAGCCACTGAAACATGTGTGATGCTGTTAGTGCCTGCATTAACCTAGAAGTATACTCAAGTAACACGACCACCCTTTGCTTATCGGGTCACGATTACTGTCACCTTTATTCGATTTTAAGCCAATACTGTACCTGCATCACACAGCGACCTATCCAAAGAGTATCTTCAAATACACCTACACCTATGAGAAGGGGGCAGGTTTGATCGCACTTAGTACGTGTCAGGTACACCTAAGCCGCGCTATTTACAGGCACACAGACAGATAAGTACGATTTAAAAAGTTCGGCATTCATCTTGCGCACACTCACTGATAGCTTCACCCTTCGGGCTCGCAATAACACATCGCGATGCATAAGGCCACGCATTGCCTAATTGCCACTGTACACTTGTTCGGAAGACGGAGGCTTTTACTTTAGGTTAAAGCTGATCAATATGAGCTCAATGCTCCTAAGAACGAGGAAGTTGATGACGCGCACAGCTCTAAAAAAGCTGCAGTGTTGGCCTTTTGCGTCACCTATCTTTATAGCGGCAGGTCTTCACTTTCTTCTTGTCGAACAGCACTTGGATCGGCATACGCCAATTTCTGTAACTTTTGTTTTTTTCATTGTAAATGTACTGGCTTACGCTGCAAAAGGCCGGAAATTTCTGTCCGACGAACTAGATTTGCTCTTTTGACTGCATAATGCTCTCTTGAACCAAGCGTGCTAGCTTTGTTGCTTAAATTATTGATAATTTAAACCGAGTATACAATGCTAAGGTCTCTGGGCATTCCATGGCTGTGCGCTTCTTAATATCACATCACCTTCTTCAGCTTGTCGATGCTGATCTGTCGAGGTCCAGGTCTGAACTCTCATCCTGTGAGCTTTGTATCGATCTTTCACTCGACAGCAAAAGACTTGCACGATTCTGCTCCATCGCATGCAACGACCGTATTGCCCTTTTATTGCGGTCGGACCTGAAGACTGAAAGCGAAGATAAAGTGCACGCGCTTTCAGTTGAAGATCCTCAAAGTCTCCTTCTCTGACGGAAACTTGACTTCGAAGTAACCATTCGATTCATTATAATTTCGTCCAGGCTGTGGTGGAGTTGCAGTGTTTTAGTGTGAATGGTAGTGCGTAGGACTTATCAATACAGTTTCCATAAAACGATTATATACAAGTTGTAAAATACACCCTGTTTTGGATTCAGGGAGTGGAAACAATAAAAATGGGGGGTGAGAATATCATTACCCTGAATAAAACCCCATATTCTTACTCGTAATTCTATAATAGTACGACTGACAACTCTTTATTAGTGCGAATGAACCCTACTTTTACTTAAAATTCTATAATAGTAAGAGTCGGGCGCTATTATTTTTTTTTTTTTCGAATATGTTATTCGCAAAGCCTTATTACATACTCCTCATGTGTTAACGACCCCATTTTTAAAGTTGGTGGCATAGCTCACATGCAAAAACCGCTTGTGGCACGCAGCCAAAGTATACGGCCATACCGATCGTACAGATTTCAATTCTAAAGTAAAGTTTGTGATCCTCACGCATTCTTGTATACCTAAAATCTGTAAGAAGCGCGAAGTAAGTCGAAGTTATCGAAGCATGTGCGGCATTCTTGTCGCATTTGACTACAGAATAGTATGCTGTGACCACGAGAGTAGCTGAATCATGGTTGTGCATAACGTAGGTGTTCTTGCTTGCTCCATCAAGCGTGTGAATATACGCTCCCGTGACGATGCTTTACGTGTTTGAAAAAGCAACAAAAGCGATCATTTTAAGTCGCTAATATGTCTGATCGTGTGATCGATCGGTTCAATCAATCGGTAGCGAGGCTTGAACTGGCAAACTCGAGCCTTTGTGCATTGGTAGTACTTGCGACATAAATGATATGTCATTTAAAGGGGAAACCGCTAAATTTACTGATTCTTACATTTCACAAAAGAAAATCGGAAATTCACGTCACTTATCACTTGGCTAATTCATAGAATTTGTCTCCACCATGCCTATAAGTTATCTGAGGAACGACCGTACTTCGACCAATGGAATGATCACCTTTCATTACAATTGATATTTGGACGCATTCTCTCAAGTAACAGACGATCAACCGTCATGTCACGCACTTGGCTTATTTAAAACAGATTGTAGCCCTTAGATCCTACTTCCGAATGCGTCGTATTGATAAAAAAACAATCTTTAATACGTAATATTCACCAGGAAAGTAAGTATTAGCGAAAGCTCCGAAGGTTACCATTAATCGAGTGATACAGTTCACAGATCTAAATCTGACTTTGGATTAAGCTTTAAGCACGACGGCTTACAAAAATCCTGTACTCTGTCCATGGTATCATCGTACTTGACTGCACAACAATGTCCACTATTAAATGCGATACACGCCTTCTCATCCTATCTTCTTCCTAGCCGTGGGTGTAGCAAAATAACAGCCTGTATAATACCAATTGTCAAACAAAAAACACGTGTCTTAGATTTTCTCCCAAATATATGCAGTTCGCATTACCATTTATAGACAACGCTGCATTAACTTCCTTTGATATCTCTTTAAGAGTTCTACTTATTTCACTAGCACCAATAATGCCACTCACGCACGACTGTTTTCGCTGATCACGACGACAAACTATTGTGGACCGATTTAGTGGTCAACCTCTTTGCTGCTTGACCGATATGTTGCAATGAAAGATTAAGATTCCATTGCCGATAGCATCATTTACACAGCACAGTACGTGTCAAAATAATTAATGTCAGGCCAGCTCATGCATAAAACTTATCAGGACACATCTAAACCAAACTGAATGTGCTCGACGACAAATCGATCCCACCGGACCGTCATGTTCTCAAAACTGTAAATTCCACTGCGTAGCTAATTGATGCTGATGAAGATGGCGAGTTTGTGTTGAGATATGCCACCCGGCATCTATCCTAGCGGCATCTGCTCGCGGATCTCTGCATCGCTTGCTACGGATCCAATCGGTACAGCTTCTCAATACCTTCAATGCTGTCACCTCTCTGCTTCACGCGTGCTGTAGTTGATGTGTACTTTCCGGACCCTGCGTCACGGTCTTTGCGATGATACCTCGACTAAAACCACCAGCACGTATTGTGTGCTCCTGCGGTGCTAACGGCATACATTCAACCATCAAAACATATTTTCAGCAACAGATGCAACAGAAATAGTTCAACAACGCCGGCAATGGTTTCAACAACCTCTGCACCGTACAACATACGCCATACTACCACTCTTTTGATGTTTCAAGGACACAGGAATTTGAAGTCCGCGTCCATCCATCTAAACAATTAGGTGGTCTTTGAGGATGAGACATACGACACCTGTATCACCCAGATAAATTAGAAATCAGGTGGTTACTGAGGCTGGGACTAGGTCACCATAACTACACAAACAAGTCAGAAGGTCAGCGAGTAGTCTATACTACTTACTGACTTTAATCTATACGGGGTGGTCAGTCCGTAAAATTGACGGCTAACTAAGCACTTTCCAATGTTCCTTCATCTAACAACATGAATTCAAACCGTGATTGATATACTAGCCCATCGAAAAATAGTTCTTAATGGAAAGTCCGGCTTCAACATTTGCCTTTACAGCATCCAAAGCTCGTACAGGTCGGGGCCACCGATGAGAGCTGTTCGAGTCTCCGCAGACGTGGTGATCCTCATTTTAAAAGATTTGTGGTCATATTGATAACACCGGCAATTACTTGTGCTGCTTTGTCTGTCGTTAATGTAATGCTCACGATTTTTCTATTTGTGTACCAGGGTGACATTTATGGGAGCTGCTTGTTTATGTGCTTGTGTCGCTATTATCGACGAAGATCGTTGTACAAGGGTTGGTCACTCCTGATAAGTGTATCGCTAATTTAGTTTTTGTTGTAAAGCTTTTTAATAAAATTCGATGTCAGCTAAAGGAGTTCATCACGATTTACAGTCTATTCCAAACAAATATATCACTAATTAAGATTCTGGTTTAAATATGTTCAGCTAATTGGTTGATGTGCAATCCAAAGGCGCCACACGACGACCGAATGTCTGTTCCCAAAAAAGGTACAAGTATTTTTAGGTATGATCAGAGGCTTTTTACACCATTTTTCATTTTTCCTGTTTAAACGTACAACTTGCATCAAATATGTCAATCCGAATTCCATTTCTAATGCAATTTAGACTTCACTCATTCGTTTGCACATTATAGTCATTCCCCGGATAACTTATATCCACAACTCATATAACTCATACCATATACGTGCCACTATGATCATTCTATGGTCGCTTACTCATAACTCGTAGGTAATATTCAGACGATTATACTTTTGGGCTAACAGAATCATTTTCATTTCTTATAAATGCTTAATTGAAAGGGGACTAAGCTTATG